GGTTGCCACATTTCAGTAACTCAAATTTTATTAGCGGTGAAGAAACACCATCGATTAACTTTTCTTTAACTTGATCTTCAAAATCTTTAAATTCACATTTCTTTGCTGCTTTTTTCAGGCGTATTAAGTAATTTTCAATGTTTTCATCTTGTTTTTGGTTACATTTTCCTAAATTGAGCTCGATCAAGTGGCACAGAAGTTGATTTAGCATAACGGTCTTCTAAAATTTTTATCAATTCACTGTAGCTCTTTTTAATCGGATTAACTGGTGTGCATTTGTGATTAAGAAACTCCAAAACCTTTGGGGTCAATTTTGTGATTAACAATGCTACTTTTTTTTTCTTCTGGTACATCATTTAACGTTATTAAGCATTGCATTTGTGTTTCGAACGTGTCGAAGTCACGTCCGTCGAAAATTTCTATACTGCTTATTATGTTTGTAGGCATTTTACTAAAATTTTCTCCGTTTTACCAACTTAATACCAGCTTTAATAGCGGCGCGTAGTGCTTTTCTTAACTCCTCCAAATTGCGATCTTGATGAATCACGCCTAATTCTTTGCACAAAGTTATTAACTCTTCTTTGCATAAATTCTGAATAAAAGATGTTTTCTTGTTTAGAATATCTTTGCTATAAGTTATGGACAAAGACATAAGTTTTGTCACGTGGTTAGGCTATAGATTGAAGATATGTAAATGTCTCAAAATGGCTGCGCTTGCACTTCTCAAAATTTTCTTCTTACTTTTATATAACTTATACTGTATTTTAAATAATAACTCCAAATATAAGTTTTTATTCTCACTTTTTCCCTCGTCGCCAATTGTTATATACTTTGTAATAAAAGATGAATAATTAATTAATATTCACTTTAATTCCGGAAGACGTTGTTACACGTTAAACGCAGAGATGGCAAGAGAGAGTGTTGCCAGTCAACCGAAAGTAACACCCAAAAACTCAAGTTATGACACATAGGTCACACTAAAAGTTTCCGGAACTGACCACTTACATAAACAATACTTAAAAAAGTAATTACAACATTTGAAAACGGAACTCTTTGGCTTGTAGAATGCAGTTGACAAATTGACTGTCAATAGTTTTTATATTGGGGCGCCAGTTTAAAAATTGCTTGTCTACATTAACATGGATTTAACTCGGGAAAATTTTCGTAGCATGATTTTCCACCATTTTAAGTGTAATTTCACAGTACAGCAGAGCCTCGTTCGGTTTCAATCTGCTATTGGCGATGAAGCACCATATCAGACGACTATTTATAGCTGGTTTGCGGAATTCAAGTACGGTCGTGTCAATATCTTAGTGAATCTCGCTATGATCACGTGTCCACCACCGTGAACAACAAAAACATGGATGCTCTGCGCCGTATGATCGAAACAGACAGGCATGTCACCTACCATGAGATTCGGACATCCTTAGACATAGGCATGAGTGAATTACAATCAATCCTACACAACATTTGGGTATGAGAAAGCTATGCTCGCAGTGGGCCCTCCACAATTTGCCCGAAACTCAAAAAACGGACCGCGTCCCTTGGTGCAATGTCATGCTTACCAGATTCAACGAGGGGACATCAAGTTTTGTGTAGGGCACAGATACTGGTGAAGAAACATAGATTTATTGCTACGATCCCAAAACAAAGCAGCAATCAAGTGTATGGGACTTTCAAGATGAGCCGAAAACAAGAAAAGCGGCCCGCGTGAAAAGGGCATCCAAGCAGATGATTGCTTCTTTTTTTTTAAATAAAAGTGGACTCTTGGGTACTGTTGCTTTAGAGAATCGTCCTACCACGAATAGTGCCTGGTACACGACCATTTGTTTGCCGGAAGTTATTGACAAACTGCGAAAAAATAACCGTAAACGCCATATCATCTTTCACCACTATAATGCTAGTTTCCACACGGCCAGATAGACAAACAAATTTTTGAAGGTGAAAAACGTTAGAACTTAGGAGCCATCCGGTATGCACCGTCCCAACCTGGCACCTTGTGACTTTTTTCTGTTCCCAAACACTAAGAACCAATTATGCGGTTAACAATTTTCATCACCAGAAGAAGCTGTCTAAGAGTATAAAAAACATGACATTTATGAGGTCACCACTAAGGAGTGACATCGAATTTGTGCATGCAAAATTGGTTTAATCATATGAAAATGTGCATTTACGCAAAAGGAGAATATTTTGAGAAACAATAATAAATTTACAGAATTTTTTTTATTCATACCAGAAACTTTTATTGCACCCAATAACAAAAAAATATATTTCGAAGATATGTGAAGCCTATCAATTCGCAAAGGGGTACCACGCGACCCCATTGCGGATTCGACTATGCTGGTTACTTTGCACTGGACTGTTTTTGTTTCTTACCTAGACTTTTGGAATAGTAAGTAGGTAACAATTTAAGGTACTGCGCATGCTGTCATTATCAACATCCTCATCCTCTTCTTGATCTTATCCCATCTAGATGGGTGGGCATATTAATCATGATGTTGTCATGTTTGGCTCGGGAACAAACACCTAGATTTGGAACAATTATCTATGGGTTACACAAATAATTGTCCTGTGTGGAGTGAGGAGTCAAACCCAAAACTCTTAGCGCTAAAGCCAAATAGTTTAGCAACTGCGGCCCCAAGTCATTTGTTACATTCACCTAAATCCATTAACAGCCATATTTTTTACTATCAATTTTAAGAATTATGTTAATTCTTATGGAAACACCCCAGTAGTTTCCATGTTACTCAAGGTCAACTTGAACTACAAGCACCAATGACCTTGTTAATTGTACACATATTCGAACTTAGGTTGCGCAAAAATGTTTAATTAAAAGCGACCAGCTGGATGCTAAGCTGTCATATCTCTGATGAAAGAGATATATCTATATTGTTTGCGATAATGCTGCACATTTATCAATTTACGGATTCCGTGACTTAAGAATTTAGTTTTAAAGTCATTTATATTTAAGTACATGTAAAGTATTAAAAAAGTCAGGAGATTCAAATTAGAATAACGCATGATTCTATAAAAATGTTTTATAGAATCATGATAATTCTGTAATGTTTTATATAGAAAAATGTAAGAAATATTCAAAAATATTTTGAATATACAACTGGAAGTTGACAGCCGCAAAGAATACATAGGCATACTTGTTGATTTATTTAACCAAGAACTATTTTCCAGCACAAGGCCATACACGTCAAGGACAATCTGTCTCCAAATACAATATTAACAGGAAAATACCAACATGTTAGTCTCAACCAATTAGCTGGTCTACATGGTCAAAGTAAATGCCACATGCAGTATGCAGCGTGTCGTTACCATCGCGACAATAAATTAGCACACGTCTAACGCTACTTGCATACAATAAGCATAAAAAAATACAAAATTAAAAAAAAATCATAATTAAAAAAAATAATTTTCAAACAAATTAATTAAATAAAAAAGAAACAAAACTTGTAACACCTATACAGCTACAACTGACTGATTTATACATTCAGAGACTTTTTCATTCATTGCCACAGTGTCGCGTTACAAGTCTCTCCTTCTAACAATATGTTTTATCTCTTTTAAATTTATTCAACCCATTCATATGCTTTGTGGCTTTTAGAAATAAACTTTACGTTACAATTTTATAGGTAAGGGTGTTCTAAAATTGTCCGTTTTGGAAAAAATTATACATCTGTGAATATTGATGTTTAAAGAATGTAAATATTTAATAGTTTTAAAAAGTTATCTTCTCTATGTGTGTTCATTTACTGTCATGGTTGTAACAACACGCTGTATTTGAGTCACACAAATATTTTTTTTGACAGTTGGGCTATGATTTTTATGGATAAATAAAAATATGAATTTAAAATAACCTAAGGAAGTGGAAAATAATTTAATTTGCCTGCGTTGGAGTAACTGAATGTATTTAATTAAATTGCCTTAATAGATGTGTAAGTTATTTTTTTCAGTTGTATCTTTACTGAACAATATATTGTATCAATTTTACTGAGAGTTTACACTTTTAATATACTATAAATATCTGATGCGGCTACATATCAGAATATTCAAAATTTTCTCTATTAAAAACATATAAAACACTAACCTAGATAGTTCTTAAGGAATTTGATCGCCTAAAAATTTTAGCTTAATGAGCATAACATAATATTTCTGTGCCATTAAACCACCGATTATACTATAAAAGACATTTCCTCAATCTCTCATACTAATTTTGATAAATGTAAAGTTAGAGGTCTGTTGCAGTGATGTTAATCTATAAACTATGTTGCTTAACAAACCATTTAAATCAAATATTTGAATAAGGACAAAAGGAAACATTCCATGCAATTATGAATTGTTACAACTTTTTTTTTTATGTGAGAAGGTAGCAAGCGAATTGACGGTTTATCTGATATTAAATGAAACTAGTTTACGGATTTTTTTATTTTGATTTGAACTCCCGGCGTTTCGAACCCTTTCCAGCGTTCATGGTCACGGTACAGACAGGTTTATCTGATGTTAAGTGATAGCTGTCATCACATTACTGAATAGTAAACTGAAACTTATACATTTGCAACACTTGTAGGTTTGCAGATGCATTGCCACCTTTTAATAAAGTTGACCCCGTTTACCTCACTCACTAGACCAAACCCAGAATTATAACACTTCCACTTTACGCCGGTCTTCTGTGAGTTTGGTTGGTACTTCCGTGGGTGGATCTGCCCATTCGTGCAACAGTGAAGTCTGTTGTGTGGCCCTACGACTATGTTAGAATGAAATTGTCAAAAACAGATAAAAGTAATGATGACACTAGTTAAACTACCTACAGGTATGAAACTGTATTTGGTTTTCATACTGCGATGTTTGAAATCTTTTGTTACAAATATAATTATGTGAAGATTAATTTAATGTTTCATATTTTATATGAAGTATTCACTTAAAAGTTATAGTATATTTAGCAATAACAATTTTTGAAATGAAGTCATAATATAAAAAGGTAAATCGCATACCCATGTGTGAGCAATCCAGATAAGGGTTTCATTGTCCAGTCTGGGCCCGATGAGAGGATTCATCTGCGCCATGTACGCACACAGCCAGCTGGAATGTGTATGAGGAAACACAGTAAGTGTGAATATGATAAAGAAAGACCTGTAATATTTCTGTGTTAGCTTTTTGTGTAGTATATGGAGTTAATTTGGTGTTTGTGTGTGTTTAACAATATTAAGAGAAAAACAGAAAAACATATAACTCTAATGGCAAAACCGACGAGACAAAAGTTGCTCTATATGTACCTAAGCAATTGTATGCATATAATTCATTGATGATTGAGTAAACACAATACACTATTGTAAATAAATAATTCAACTTACAATAACCAACATGTTGCTGCTGTTAACATTAACACCACTTGGATGATTCTGAAATTTAAAATCAATAGATGAGGAAGAAGTTAGAAAAATATCTACATATTTGCACATTTAATGGATTAACTTAAAACTTACCCTCTATTAGGTCCTTTAGGTGCAAAAATGGGGCATACGATACCTACTACACCCCATAGAACAGTGAAAACCACGATGGGAACAAACGAAGCACCCATTTTTGCACAAGAAAAGCTTAAAATTTGCAGTAACAAACTTTAAAACAAATATCAGCTGCCCTGAAAATGGAGGACTTGATCGTAAAGTTGGTAGCGATGTATGTCTCTAGTCATATGACAATTACGTTCCGATTTTACAATACAACTTATTTTCTTTTAAACAATGTCACCGAGATGAGGCCTCAAAGGAATGGGCATGTTTTGATATTCATACAAATATTCCTGTAATACAAGCATTAAATTTTCATTCGTCACGTGAGAAAAAGATAGAGTAAACATAGATTTTGTAAAATCGAACTATTCTTGTTGTAAAGTGAATATTTTCGCTGAAATAAAATTTTCCCAAAAAGACCCATCAGGACTATTAAAAATTGTTTCCCGTTACTATGGTGGTAGGTGTAAAATATTTAAAATTAAAATTGTTTTTAAATTAATTTTCTATGGTATATGATAAATTATTATATTTTAATTATGGTAAAACCTTTTTTAAAGTCTTGTCTTTTTAACTTTGCAACGACAAAAAGTCAAAAACAGAAAAAGAATAAAAATCTTCAAGTGAATTAAAAAGAACTCCTCGTATGCATTTAATAAAAGCTCAAAAATATAAGACACGTAAAACATCTCAAAATAGAATAAGAAAAAGAAAAAAGGTAAAAAAGTTTACTTCAACGGATGTGTAATGTTTACCACTAAAATTAAATCATAAAACTAATAAAATTCTTAAAAACGTGAAGAAAGAACGAAAAAAAAGTTTATTCGGTACATAAATTTATGAAAATTGTTTATAATAAAAAGAAATAAAATTTCAATGCACCAAATAGGTTCCAACTCAGGATGAGTTCACGGAGTTAGTAAACTTCTTGAATGCCGATTTTCAGTGGAACCGTAGGAGGATGATAGATAATTTGGGAATGAAGGGAATTTTCTTTTGTGAGGCTCCCCATATAATAACATATTTATAAGAAGTAGGTATGTACGCGACTGATTGTTGCGACTTGTGATAAGATTATTTTCTTGTTCAATTATGAAACACTTATAGTAACAGTTATTCAATGCAGAAATGATGCTGCATTTTTGACACCATGCCACGTGGGCTAGGTTTAATACATGTTGTATGTATATCTTCTACCATTATCAATTCACTTTACATAGTGGCAAGGGTTTGCCACTATATAAAGTGTCTGGCAATGAATAACGTAATTTTTAATAATATTCTGAAGTTAATACCAAAAAATCTCACTTTATTATTTGACAAAATTATATCGGTATTTTACACACCTTTAGTACCGTTTACTCCCCAAAGCCCAGGTAACCCAGACTCCATAATGGTCCATCGTTCTTACCTGTGTTGGGACAAAATTTTTTGACAAACTTTCAGCTTTTGTAAAATGACGAAGGTCTGGCGTTCACGGGTTCTTAGACCATATGTAAATATTTTTAATAATTTTTGCTCCACATAACATTGTCAGTTGTAAATATAAGAACATAAATAAATAAATAAATTCTTACTACAAATTGTTTTTAATTTGACAAAAATTTTAACAGAAAAAATTATTGACTGAAAAAAGAAGCGGATGGAAATTAATACCAAAAGACTCATGCGAAGTTTACAGAGAACGTTTCAGACGGCAAATGGAAGAAAACAAACTTAGAGAAAGTAACGTAGTCTATACCAGACGAAGGCGGCGTAATTTAAGAAGTTCAAGGAGATGTAGAAATTGTCGTAAAAGGTTTGTAAGATAAATATTCATTGGTAACATTCAGTTTCGCACTGAATACGAGAAGTTTTTTTAAACTTGGATGCAATTAATATTCGAGTAATTCTTGTGTTCACGTTCTCTTTACTTACTTCCCTAAATAATATTTTTTGAAAAAGAATTTAAATTTTTGTTCATTAATAATTTAAGGTTTTTTAAAATTTGCTTTTGTTTTTTTTGGTATTCCGAAGAAAATGGCCACAAATAATTTTACTGTGTTACAGAAAATGGGGGTCTATTTCAACCGACCATTCATTAATTTCGTTTGAATCCAATAGCAACACCACATCTTCATTGTATGGTTCTGAAATGGATACCGATTAAATTATAATTTTATAAAATATGTTCTTTTATTTTACCTTTTTTTTAAATGACATACTTTTTAAATGAAGGCGCAAATATAATTATTGAAGCACTTAATCTGAACATTGGCCTCCCACACAGACTGCCACGAAGCACGATCCTGAGCCACCTGCATCCATCGACTTGCCGAAAATTAGTACAAGTCGTCCCTCCAGTTGTGGGCCTAGACTGCGTCGTCGTCCTATTCAATGACACAACCTTATTATCGATCCTACGAACTATATGGCCGGCCCGTCGCCGTTTCAGCTTACTAATCTTCTGAGTATCCCCGGATCTAGGGGGGGGCAAGCCGGGGCCCATGCCCCGGGCGGCAATTCACAGGGCGGCAAATTCCCATTTTACAGACGAATGGACAACTCATAATTTACTTAACTTTTCTTAAATTCTCAGCTTTCTAAAATCCGGCCAAACGATTATAGCAGATATCTATTGCCAGCAACTGCAAACCATGAAGGAAGAAATAGCTGCTAAACAACCGAGATTGGTCAATCGCTCTAGGCAACTGCCAACGCAAGACCACAGACTGCACAACAAACAACCACTAAGTTAGATGAGCTAAAATTGGAATGTCTGCATCCACTGTACTTCCCAGACCTTGCTCCAACAGAATACCATTTTGTTTTGGACAACTTTTACAAGGAAATAAATTCAACTCCGATGCGGCAGTCCAAACCGCCTACAAAGAGTTTATTGATTATCGCCCCCATGTTTTTTTTATTAAAGGGATCAGGTAGTTCACCTGCGAGACGGCAAAAGTGCATAGATAACAACGGTGCATACTTTGATTAATTAAATATATTTTGCAAAAAAAAATTACTTTATATTCCTCCCGTACACAACGCCAATTTCATATGGAAGGATCTAATATTTGTATTGACCTGCGAATTTACTCTTACACTTCCCACTACAGCTGAAAGCTGTGAGCGAAGTTTTAGCAAACTAAAACTAACTAAAAATTATTTGCGATCTTCTATGAGCCAGGAACGCTTATCGAGTCTTGCAATCTCAGCGATAGAAAATGGAATTGCACACGAGTTAAATTATGACAAAGTCATAGATTTCTTTGCTGAAGAAAAGGCTCGAAGAGTAAAATTATAATTTCAATTCACAAATGCAATAAAATAATTGATATTCATTTATATCCCATCGTGTATAAAATATAATTATATCCTATATGTTTGTTTATATAATAATAAAATGTGCGTGATTTATGGGCAACTCAGTGAAGGACCTCCTCTTAGTTCCGTAGGTCATCACTGGAAACACACTGAAAACTTTAGTCTTCAAACATTATTGCGGAATATTTGACGAGAACATTTGCAGAAGTTTCTCGAACGCTGCCGATTAATCTTTGGGACGAAGTTGAACTTACCTATCCGGAAATATAGAGCTTAATACCAGCTCATACAAACAATTAATAAAACCTAAACATGCAAGTGAACTAGTAATGGCCTAGCTTTGATGTCATACGACATATGCGACCGAAAAAGCAAACCATACCGTGCTTAAAAAGTACCTACGGAGTCAAAACGGACGAACTTTATATAAGCTTTTATAACTTTATATAAACTTACAATCATCATCATTTTACAGACGATAATATATAGTTAATTATAGTTTCATTCAGTTGAACTGTAGCTATTATATAGTATTTTATCGCACAAATCCTCAATGTGGTTCTGTAAGTTGATATAACTTCTTTATTTATGAAACGATTTCAATAAAACTAACACTAAATGTTAAGTGAAGCTTACTGCAATGCAGAAGTGAAAGTTGCACCCAAATCGGTTAAGCAGTTTCTAAGATTAGCACACACAAACGCACAGACAAACGGATAAACAGACAAAAAGACAAACAGACAAAAATGTTAACAATCATTGTTTTGGCTTCTACTGCATTGATAAAGGTCCCCATAATATTTTTTCTCAAATAACTTCCATGTACAGAAAACTAACAGTTACATTTTTATTATATGTATAGATAAAACTATGCGAGTACAACGCAGTAGAATATTTTATTTAATATTGTAACAGTTGTATTGCTTTTTTAACTGAAGGCAGTACTGCAGTCACCTCTTTAATTATAATAAAGAGTACCTAGGAATACCCGAAGTATCCAATAAGTAAATAAATTCTAACTGGCAGCTAAAAAATATTTTTAATTTGCAATGGCGTTTATGACAGCACAGATTAGTAAACAGTAAATTTTAAAGCGGTAAACATTAAAATGCTAAATTTTTAAGTTGTTTTCAGAAATGTAGGATTATATAATATCTAAGTGGTTCAGCTTTCAATGACTGGACCACTAGATTTGGGCTGTGCCGACATTTACAGCTGGATCGGAATATGCACGGTTTATGTCTTGCTGCTTGCGGCTACCACCTTTATTTCCGGCTATGTTCTGTAAGTTCATTGCAAAAGCTTTTTACAATCTCACATATAAATATATACGTAAACTTCGTTTTACTGGTTGTGAGAATTAACAACGCATGGTCCAAATACAAGCAGTAGAAGAAAACAATGGTATGTAAGAGTGCAACAGAGAGTTTGTAATAATATATAGGAGTTTTGTAAAGTTAGGAATTACAAGAAAAACTTAAATTTAGGAATCGATGTGGAAAACCAGCATTAAAGTTGCGAAATATAGTTTTTTAGGGTTCCGTACCCAAAGAGTAAAATGGGACCCTCCTCCTCGAGACTCCACTGTCTGTCTGTCTGTCGTCTGTCTGTCTGTCGTCTGTCTGTATCTCATGGACCATGATAGTTAGACAGTTGAAATTTTCACAGATGACGTATGTCTGTTGCCGCTATAACAACAAATACTAAAAACAGAATAAACAATTTTTTAAGTATCTTGTATCTTGTATTAACTGATGTTTTTGCTTTCAGTCCCGAGACTATTAAAGCTTCATCTGACGCAGAACCGGTGGGCTAGCCAGAACCCACGGGTTTGGGCCCTCCGCTGTGGGTAGGGCCGCGCATGTGCTCATGCGTTCGTTTAACTACGACATGTCATCCAAGGGCCATCGAAGTTGCGGTGCGGCCCGAGACCCCGATGGCCGTCGACTGTGTATTTAGCTAATCGGTGGCTGGGGGCGGTGAGAACCGCCCTGGAACGCGGGTGTACCTTGTGTACGCGTTGTGTTGGTCTCGCCGTGCTCGGAGGCGAGGGCGAACTATTGTGTTTGTTGTTACACTAGCTGTGGGTGTAGTGTGTTATCCGGCGGTACCCCCGGTGGTGGGTCCGGGCGTATCTAAGTCCCCTTCCTCGACCGGGTCGATGAGGACGTTTCGCGGGCGACGCTTGTTAACGTTCGCGTTTGTGTCGGGTTGGTAATTTGCTGCGCTTACCACCAGAGGGTTGGGATGATGTTCGGCTCTATCGAAGAACCGTTTTGTCAAATCTTTAAAATATTCGCGAATCGTCGGGAGTCTGCAATCGCTGTGCAGATCGACGTTGCGTTGGTACCACTGCGCACCGGTTGCACAGCGGATGAACTTATTTTGTACTATTTGCAGCTTGTACAAGCGAGTAGGGTGCGTGTGGGCGAATATCATGCATGCGTAGGACATAATAGGTCGTACGCAGGTCTTGTATAATAATAATTTGTGCCTTAAGGGCATTTTACTTTTAGCGTTAGTTAAATTGTGTAGCCGGCCGGTGACGAACGCGGCTCTATTACGAACGTTATTAATGTGCGTAGTAAATGACATACGCGAGTCGAATGTGACTCCTAAGTATTTGATCTTTTTCTCCCATGGGAGCGGTTGGCCATAAAGGGATATTTGCCCCAACTTTCTGCATTGGATTTTTTAAGTGGGGCTCCTATACAACAGGCATAATTTTTTCCCCGTTTTTATAGATGGTACGGAATCCTTCGTGCGCGAGTTTGACTCGCATTAGCCGGTTTTTCAAATAAAGTTTTTACAGAATATGGCTTACATTTATCAATCACAAAAAATCGAACGCAGAACTTGTGGAATAGCCAGATTACACGAACTTGATATGGCTTTACTTGTCGGGTAGGACTACGCAAGCTCATGCGTTTATTTATTGGGAGAGAATGTCATCTATCTATGAGCCTAGTGCGGTGTGGACCGTGACTGATGACCGTTAACTGTATTAATCTGTGGCTGGAGGCGGTGACAGCCATGCATCAGGATGCGTGCATAAGGTACATGCGTACCTTATGCTCCAGAAAAACCCTAATAATTCCATGAGTCCCATAAATATTATTATATATCATTCCGTGTAGCGATCGAACATCAAAAGTCCGTCATCAAAAGTCTGATAACACTTGCCCCGATACCTTCCATTCCCTATACACCAGTGGCATCCATATGACCCCTAAGTTCGAATTGGCAATTTCTGCTAACGACCTGCTGATAATCAGCACTGTAATCCTTCATAAAGTAGTTTAATTCTAGAAATTAACTCGAAATCGATTCCTTCGTCACGCAACCGCCAACCCTGTGGAACGAAAAATTGCATCGCGACCTTAAAATCCGTGTTCTGACCACATTCTCATTCTAGAGAGTATCATCGAATGCGAGTTCCTCGATTCAGAGCCACGATGTTGACAAAGGAATCGATTTTGAATAGCTTGAAACGGATTCAAGTGTTTTTTCGGAAATATAATTATTTTCGAGTAGGTCCAGCCCTATGACAATTTTTAAATGTCACATGTCAATATCGAATTTGAAAATATCGTTACGGTTTGTTTATTTTCAAATTTCAAATTACATTGAAACTTTGTTTTTATTAGGGTGTAATAATTGATATTTTGAATTAAACCATAAGTTTTACTTTGAAAATGGATTCTAGAAAGTAATCAAAATAGGCAAAGCTAAAATCTAGATTTGGACATGGACGACACTCAAGGCAGTCGAATGTCTGATGCGGTCGCTACGTAAGTTTATGTGTAGATTCTACTTAATCTTTGGAAAATATTTTTAAATTAAATTTATGTACTCCATGAATATTTCTACATTATACCGTTGATTTACGGTCTTATATTGTATTAAGAAAACACTAACAATAGTTTATTAACAGTGAACTTGAAGACCATGTTAAACTTATTCTTCAAAGATGTAGGAACGTCCATCATATTTTACATTATCATTTAGCAGCACTGTAGGGGGAAGGCGAAGAGTAATATATCACAACTTTCATGGATATGTTAACCTAAAAACTAATATTTATATATTTTTTTACTAGTACAGTATGAGAAAAATTGAAAACATAGCAAGTACAGTGAAACCATCGTAGAGGCATTTGTGAAAAAAATGGTAGACAATTGTGTGTGTGATCTCCAAAACTAACAATAAAATTAACCAATTCTAGTTGAATTGACAGATGTTTCCTTACTGTTAATAATCTTTTAAAAAAGGTATTATTAAGAAAAGATATGACAAAAAGTGATTTTACATTGCTTGATTAGAAACTGTATGGAAAAATTTCATTGCATAATATTTAAATAAGATTAATTGGTTTACAAAGGTTTTAACTACAACAAAGGTTTGCAAAATTTCAGAAAGTTATTCAGCTGAGACTGAAGGAAAGTGCACATCTATATCTCCATATAATAAGTACATGTGGTCATCAACCCGTTTAGTTATAAATTAATTGTGTCACAGTTCTATTTTAATACCTTATCTTAATATCTTTTGAAAAGAACATGCATATAAAGAGTGTTTTACATACTCGAATTTCACATTGTTAACGACAGCAGAAAATCCCTAATAAATTCCATGATTCTCATATTTACTCATTCCATGTAACAATCATAACAAAAAAACCTCAGTCCCAAAAGCTTAGCTCTTAGCAACTAAGCCAATTGACTCATATCAATGTATTCAAAACTATATCTAAAGCAGGGGAATGTATTGGTTTGCCCATGCCCGACTTTCTGTCTTTAAACCATGTGGGTATTTTCAAGATATTGAGTCATGCAATAAGCAATTTATATGTAAAGAAATATTTTTTTATAATATTCAAATTAGCTTTAAAATTCCCAGTTAAAATGTTTAACTTATAGCCAGACCATCATTACAAATCTTTTACTCAACTGTTCCTATTAATGTGCAAATATGAATAAAATGTGTAAACAAAAATATATAAATAATCTAAGTACATATTTGCAGTGATATTCAATAAATATATGTAATTCTCATGTCCACATTTTGAAAGGTTGGCTCATATCTGACACCATCTGGTATTGGTTGCACTTAGTATGTACTTCTAAGAGAGGGCTTGTTGATTTTCAGGAGGAAGCGTAGGTCGTCCATCCTCAAGAACCAACGCCCCCCTCGGACGCCCTTCTCCGAGCTCGAATTCAATGTCGCCACTCCCACTGACACGGCGAAGAGTCGCCGGGTCAGCTTCTCAAGGCGCACCGATGTCGCGTAAGATGCACCTACATAACGTTTTCTGCGAACTCTGGTCTTGAATTGCTTTGATTGAAATGAGCTTCGGTGGTCCATGGAATGATCTAGGGGGCTACTAAATAGAAATTGATTTCGCCGTACGCATAATCTCAGGATGTGGTGATTTTAAGCTTTGAGCTCGACAGTCTAGTCCCCCGAGGGTCTATATGAAGATTTGAGGGGTCCGGGGTCCGATGGTAAAGCGTCTGAGAAGACGCATTTTTGAATCTTGCAGCGCCGAAAAATTTTCGACAATTTTTCCACACAAAAAAACATAATATCACTAAAAATAAAATTAATCAAAACTTTGGGAACATTGGTTCTACACAATTAGAAAGTCAAATGTGTTACAGGTGCCTCTCACAGTACCCTTTTCTCTGCCCATATCCCACCTAGGTGGATTTGGCAGAACATGTGGATGATGTTAATGATATTGATAAGTTTTTTTTAAATGACCGGCCACCTGCTTCCTTGGGAACAAACACTCTGATCCAAAACAATTATCTGTAGATCGCATTAATAATTGTCCGTAGTAGGAATCGAACCACGACCCTCGCCGCCGAAGCTTAATGGCTTAACAACTGCGCCACCGAGTCATAATACATCATTTCTGTTAGAAATTTAATCACAAAAAAATGTGATTACCTTACTGCCCGCTTTAACGAAAAAAAAACCACAAATGTTTTCTTGCCATTCCTTGATAATATAAGTTTTAATACAACTACTTGACCCGTGCGAAATTTCGCACAGTATCGTGACATCAAATGAGGCATTAATGAAAGGTATTTTATTCTGAAGAATACCGTTTTTTCAATCTATTTCACTATTATTATCATTAATTCAAACAAATTATAAAAAGGTAGTATTAGTATCATACATTTTTTATAAAAACATTATTATTACTCTACTTTTCTACTTTTCGTAAATTGCAATCATTAAGCATTAAAATGTGTTTAATAATGTGGTGTTTAAATTATCAAATTTCATGACGAATTATGGAAGAGGTACGCCATATATCGACGACAAGATTAACGCCCGGCTTCTGAAACACTGAATCGGAATGATCTTAATGATCTGAATTATCAATCCAAAGAGTTTAACCATCCTTTTGGCAACTCAAATAACATTTTAAAGATCAGTGTTTTAGAAACCGGGCGTGAGTCTATGATTAAAACTTAATTTATTTTTAACCTACATTTTATACTTGTATCCTATTAAAGTTATTCGTCATTACGTTTCAGAGAGTTCGTAACAAACGAGGCGACGACTACTTGGAAGACGATGTACGTGGAGCAGAACAGGTCGCTCGAGTCGTCCGGCAACGACTCTGCGATGAATCCGCCACGGCCCACCGTCTGCCACCTGGGCAAGCGGATATTCGACCAGCAGTTCCAGGAGGTGGAGGCGGTGGACTCTGGCGCGGTGCCCCATGCTAACCCAAGGGTGCGCGACATGGACATGTCCCTGATGAACGTCGACTTTGCGCAGCAGATCGCCGAAATGGAGCGCGACGACGCCAGCCTCGCGCCGCCCCAGCAGAACTTCGAGCTGAGCTCCTGCACAGAGTACAGGAGTAAGCTGTTCGGGGACTTCACCATGCCGTCTGTCGGCGCCATGTCGGGCAAGGTCGACGTGGACTTATTCGTCATCCAGCCCGTGGGCGGCTCCCAGAAGTGCGACGACCTCGACGAGATCCAGCGAGATCTGCAGCGCTCCCAACCGGCCGCCATCCGCTGCGGCCCGTTCGCCGACGCTCCCAACACCTCCGACTACATCGAGGTGGACCTGAACACAACTCACGTCGGTCTAAAGCGCGACACGTCGGACATGTCCATAACTGATACGATACGCAGCCCAAAAGATAAAAGCCTGCCGCAATTATACGTCCCCGCGAAAGTGAAGCCGGGCGCGGAGGAGGACTGTGTGGTGGACAAGGAGAACATTGCGATCAATCCGTATGCCGCGCCGAAGGAGTCTGCCAATTTCGCTATAAACGAGATCCCGGATCAAGTGTTGGTGTTTGACGGGAGGCGGTTGACCATTCAGACGGAGAGGAAGACAGGTTTCGGTGAAGAGGATGCGGGGTGTCGGCGACCGCTCTCAAACCAGCCCTCAGTTTCTCAGAGGAAGACCATAGTTTTGAACGTGAACGACGACCTGCCGAATTTCATCGATGATGCGCCGCTCCACGGCCTCCGCACCAGGGGCATTGAATATGATGGCGCCGTGGACGGAAGCATCCCGTGTAAGCCCCAGGCGGTCCCTAACGCAATGCGATACGGTCCAAATTCGCACAACACTGTCCTTTACGAGGGCGACGATGTGGCCAATGTGTCCATGACGCAAGCGATACCAACGAACATTCTAGCGCAAAACGAGAAGAGGAGAACTACTATCGTCTTTGACAGTGACGCCGAGCTGTCAATGACGCAGGCGGTGCTCGCGCCGCTGAAGGATTCCGTCGAGCAGAACAAAACGGTCGTGTTCGGCGCAGACGACATTTCGTTCACGCAAGCCGTGCCCGGGAACGTGTTAGTAACAGACGAAATTGAAAAAGGAGGTAGAGGTTCGGTTCCGCACGGCGGGAACGATTTTGACATATCATTCACCCAAGCTCTGCCCAATAATGTTCTTCTGACGAACACGTGTGGGTCGAAGAAGTGGAACACGATTGTCTACGGTGACGACGTTGGAGACGTTTCAATAACTCGAGTTTTACCTTCGAACATAATCATTAGTGATGGTCGAGGCACCGTCGAAGCGATGCAGGGTCGAAAGTCATTGAAAAGCGAAAAATCCATAGTCTACGAAAAGGATGGCTGTGATATATCTATGACCGAAGCCGTTCCCAAAAATATAATACTATCAGATGCGATGAAATCGAATGATACGAAAGTAGTTTACGGCCATAGTGATGATCATAATATTTCAGAAACCAAAATGGTTCCGACGAACATAGTTGAATATGATAGACTTTTAGAAGTTAGTGCAAAGGAAGAGTACAAAGATGGCAAAATCATAGTGGACGGATGTGAAAAACTCGCTACCAATATGTCTATAACTCAAGCTATACCCGAGAACGTATTTTTGGCACATGTAATGGAGAAAAGGAAATCTTTAGTGAACGGCAGCGGCGTGTGCGATGTGTTAGTGACGCAATCCCTCCCGACGGACAAAAGTTTGGCTAATAGAAGTGCGATCGCCAATAATCTCGACCTCTCTATAACTCAGGCGGTCCCAGACAACATTGTTATATTGAACGTTGTATTAAACACGGACACGAGGCAGAGACATAATGAAACGCGGGCAGAGGAAACGCAAACGGAAACGCAAAAAAGTTGTATCGAGCACGATGTCTCGTCCAAAAGTTGTTCACCGAACGAAGATTTATGTAAAAGCGACATGAACATGTCTATAACGCAAGCAATTCAAACCAACGAGGCGCCACAAGAATCTCGTGTACCCAATGATCGGTGTGAGACACTTTCCGATGAAGATATGAACATTTCAATGACAGATCTAAGACCAACAGACATTTTGCTAAATGGATCACGGCAGGTGGATGATAAAATGATTGAAACCACTACCGTAAACGTATCTAGCGATACAATGTATTGTAAAGAAAGAGAACTTGATGCCCCGTCGTTCACAAAAAGCATTTGCTCTAAATCGATGCCCCCAGAAGAGAAATACAACAGCCTTTCACATAAAGCTGAAATTTGTAAAGAGGATTCCGTTGCGCACGTATTGGAGTTATCGAACAGTGAATACACAAATATGAAAGCGGAAATTAACGGCACACATAGCGCAGCGTTGCTCGACAAAAGTCCAAAATTGGTTTCCGAAGAGAAAGTTCTACATACATCCGAGAAATGCGCAGGTATGTCACAAAGTTTTGGGACCAACAACGCGCACAAATCTGCAGCGGAGATAAATTACCAAGATCTGTTCGTTTACCAAGCCGCCACAGAGCACAATGTGTCCATGCAGCAACTTATGAATAGAGAACCGAGCGATTTGGGCATTAAAATGCCGCTCGCCTCGGACAGTCCCAAGCGAAGCGACATTAATTTGGCAGAAGACAGCAAAGAACCAATTTCAAGTTTGGAAAATTCGCGTACATCGCAAAAGAGACCGGGGAAGTCGATTTTGAGCGAACTTCTTAAAATGTCAGATGAATCTATTAATATATCGGATGATGGGGTTGGTGAGAAGAATGCAATGGTCGAGGCACAGTCGATTGATTTTGCGGAACATATCCCGAAAGACCATCCCGAAACGCTTAGAACTGACGATGAGTTATTAGAATGCAAATTTAATAAAACCTTGCAAGTTTCACAACCTAATATCGAATCGAATATGTTGGAAGAATGTAAATCTAATAAAACCTACGCCGAAGTTTCTCGATCAAATTCCGAAATGTTTAGAGAAAATAATTCACAGGAGCGGGTTGAAAATAAAAGTCCCGTAACGGAGACACTTTACGAGAACGTATTAAGCGTAAATTACGAAAGAACGCACTTAAACGAGAGCCCGAAACATTCGAGTGAAACTTTATGTTCGGATTTAGAGACGGAAGAAAAGGATGAAATCACCACTGCTGTGACGAAAACGGGTTCAGAACATCAAACATACAAACAGGCTGATGACACGAAGGAACTGTTGGAGATGCTATCGGATTTCACTGATAAAACTATGATTAAACAATCCAAGGACAAAGACGACGCTAATGTACCCAATGAGCACGGCGCAGTGGAAGAGAACTCTAATGGCAACGGGCTCAAACGTTTAAGCTTTGCTAAAAGCAGAATGTCCATAGTGCTGAGTCGAGAAGACCTACTCACCAACATATCTATAGCGCAAGCTGCACTACAGGCGAGAGCCGACACGGACGAAAGCGACGACGACGATACCCTCGACGATACGCCAGAAGATCCGATAGAAGCGATAGATGTGGTAGAGGAAATCGAAGCAGCACACGAAGAAGATCAAATAAACCGAGTTGTCGAAGAGACGAATAACAAAAGAAAATCGATACGCGTCAGCACGGAAGTGGTGAAGACGCTGCAGTTTGACGATTCGGCTATCGATACTATACAGAAATCGGCCGAGAATCTATCGCCCCTGAGGAAGAACGTGTACGGCGATAATGTCGGAGCGATAGACGGCAAGGCGAAGGTGATCCCCTCGTACTTGAAGGACGTGTCGGAAGACGTGAAGTCGCTCATGCAGGATCTGGTGAAGCCGACGGCGGACCAGACATCCTTCGGTAGAACGACGCTCGATAGGCCAGAAAAGGGGGAGAGTTCCACCCGCAGCATCAATATACAGGCGAACATCATCACGTCGAGTCAGATTGACATAGACATTGAGTCGGAATCCGACGTGGTCAGCACCAGCGCGGCCCATAACGAAGACATTAAACACTATCTACCCCATCATTAGAATCGATAAAACAGTCAACGTCCGTTTGCAAGACAGACAGAAAGAGTGTTCATCTTAATCAATCGAAGTTAGTGGATTCTGAACCAGTTCTGATCTTCGACCACGCAAATCCACTAAACAACGTTCTGCTATCACCTACAGGCAAGAGGGATACGCACAAATATCGCCCCGAAGACACCGCGTCGTCAAAGACAGAGGTCGAGCCGATGAGTTGTCTCATGAAATCCGTTCTGGAGAAGAACGCGGACGAGAGGGTCAGCATACAGAGGATTTCCACACATTACGACATAAACACGAGTCCGGTCAGAGACGGTTTAGGACAGGAGCCAGCGGAAAATGCTAGCCTTGATCCCAATGACAACCCCGCTTTACCCGCTAACACTTCCGAGGAACCACAGGAGCGCTTAAAGGACACCGAAGTGAACACCTCTATATCCATGAAGTGCAACAAGGTATTACTGGAGGAAACTTCGTGTTTGACCTTGGTCGACGACGAGGAACAGGGCACCATTGTGGAAGACACACAGCAGGCGCACACAACACCCGCTGAGGCGATGCTCGAAAGGACATCGCCGGTGCGTGTCATTTTCAAACTGGACGACGCGCGCAACGAGAACTACGCGTCCAGCGTGGATTTGGGCCTGAGGACGCGAGCAAGCCGAAGAAACGGACGTACAGCTCGGCGAAGCGCGAACCGACTGGTAAGGCCGCGCTGTCGAGCCCAGACGTTACGCCGAAGCCACTCAGCAAGATCCAGAAAGTCTCGAACAGCCCGAGGGTGAAGCCGCCAGCAGACGCCGCCGCCGCCGAGTCTGAGAGATCGCTGAGTAGGACGTTGAAGAGGCAACCGAAATGTAACCCGTCTAAAAGCGGCAAGCCGAAATTCGGGAGCACCGTGATAGTTCAACAGCTGACGGCGGAGTGCGGGGTTGAAATGACGGAGAGGGACGGAGAGGGGGAAATAGTTAAAGAGGGGGACAGCGCAACGTCCGGGCAGAGTTCGTGCAGCACCCTGAAGACGGAGACGATGTCGCGTAAGAATTTAAAAGAGGGCACCAGTGGGGATATGTCCTCCTCGTTCACCAGTAGAGCACAGAGCGCGGCCTCTAGAACCTCTAAAGAGGTCGGCTGTGCTCAGAGCGAGGTCTCGCCTCTTAACTGGTGCGCTAAGCTCGACCACAGAGAGTCTAACGTGTTGGCTGACTGCGAGTCGAGTATCAATGTGCTGGCGAAGATCGACGCCCTGTCTTTTATGGGGTGAGTGTCTCTGCCAGTAAGGCAGAAAGATAAAGAACGTTCATAAAATGTTATTTATTTATTATTCAACCTTTAAATCAATTCCTTACATGTAATTAAGGAAAAGCTTAGGCAAAGTCCCACGTCCTCTCAAAAGACTGGAATGAAAATTAAATAGAAGTATTATACTTTTGCGTGTCGTGTAGTGTTTGATGGAACGCAGGTGCCCTCTGTTTTAAAGATGGGTAACGCAGAATATTGTCCCTTCTTTCGAGCGTACCTACATCGCTTTCTTTCTCGCTTCCATCACACATTAGTGTACAGGCGCAAAATTTGTGGAGTCAGTTGCATTCAACTTTAGGCTTATACGTTGAGTTTTAATATTATTATGTGTTCGGTGTCTGAGTATATTGAATTGAAGCGAGCGCTTTAATTCAGTATATTCGCTTTAATATATAATATACCGTTTTTAATTGCTGACTTATCACGTACCCAACGGTGAAGGAACAATCGCGAGGAGACCTGCATATTTTCGAAATTGTAACAAAAATATATTTCGCAGATATGTTAACTCCGGCGAACCGCGGTGGATTCGCGTGGTGGACTATACCGTAATACTCTGTACGGAGACCTATAAGTTTTGATAAGTCGAAGTGAATTTGGTCCGCAGAGGCCACGACTGCGAGTGGGATTGGTCCGACGTGGACACGTGGCGGTTCCGGCTGATGCGCGGCAGGCTGCGGCTGACGGTGCGCCTGGAGCGCGTGCGCAGCGGCGCGTCCGACGCGCGCTTTCACGCACGCGGCTACGTGGCCGCAGACACGCCCGTCCTCTCCGCCACGGTCGAGCTGGCGCACGAAGGTAACGCGCGAGTAGTACGTCGCTCAAAATCAAAAATATATTCATTCACATAGACGCTTGCGCGTTTTTATGAAATGTCAAAAAATAACAAAATATATAGGTAACGCACGAATAGTACGTCGCTCAAAATCAAAAATTTATTTATTCACATAGACGCTTGCGCGTTTTTATGCGCGTCTATGTGAATAAAGATATTTTATTATTATATTATTATTATTATTATGAATTAATGTCAAAATTTTACATAACAAATTAATACGTTCGTAAGTTACAACCGGTTCGGAAAGCAGTTCTATGGCCAAGGTAGCCACTTTCCGGCTGTGTTTGTGCCGCACTATGCCCCCCAGAGGACTGTGGTACTTCACTATAGGTCCCCGTAAGACTACGGTGCGTCGCTATGCGTTCCTGTTAGATTATGGCGCGTCACTATGGATCACTATATAGGAATCTCTTCAGTGCTGCCATCTGTGTTAGGGGACCTGTCTAGACAAATGCGTATTTAGAATAAAATGTCGTCTGAAAAAATACGACAATTCGTGTAACTGGTTGTGCGTAGCCAAAGATCGAGAGAACCTAGGCCCAAAGTTGGACTGCCGATAAGCTGATATAATGTTTTTTTGTGTTTTAAGAACATTTTCGTTTTCCTGTGTTGTAAGGAGGTTTTTCATTAATTTCCCGTGAACAAACACCCACATACGAAACAACTATCTGTGGTTCACACAAATAGTTGTCTCGTGTGGGAATCGAACCCACGTCCTCCGGCGCAGTTGCCAAAGCATTGGCATTTCATTCCGCAGACGCGGACCCGCTGGCGCGCACGTGCGCCCGGCTCGCGTGCGAGGCGATGCGCTACGAGTGCGCGCGCGTCGGCGCCGCGGCGCGCGACGTTGCCGCTCTGCTGCGCCGCTGCGCCGCGGTGGCGCGCCTCGCGAGGCGATGGGCGCGCGTCATGCGCGACGCGCGCGCCCACCTCGCCTTTACGATCGCCGGCGACGGCGCGCTCGCTCTCAAGGTCGTTGGCTCGAACTTCCTTTTTTTTTTGAAGCTGTTAACTGTTGCCAGTTACTCTCTTTCTCCCTTCCCACTCGACTCGATAAATAGATATGTTTTTACAGAGAATAATTTATTTTCTTTAAAAACAGATTATTCCATCATCCAATATATTCTTTATTGTACACCAAAAACATGATTAGGTATATTATACAAGATAGTGTAAAATGTAGGTATGTATAATAGGCGGTCGGATCGGTTTGAAAGCGTTTTCCAGACAATCGCATCTAATTTCTGATAAAACAATAGGTACTTTCGTTAGATGACGAAGGTTAGTCTTCAAAAGATCTCTAGATGCCTCCTCGGCGAGACCGGTTGTGTGTAATTCTAACTCATTAAAACGGTTTACTTGGTCTCACATTCAGTGTAGTTGGGGACGCGCCGTTCATACAAATCGTCCCTAAATCCAATATAAGCTTTTAATAACTTCCAAATTCCAATAATTGGTAAGGGCGTATCTCAGGCTGAAGTGATGAATGGATCGTTGAGATGAAAGTTGGCGGTGGGTATGTAATGCCACACTTTGCCCAGGACATTACTTTTGTCTCAGGCAACATTTACTTTGACTTAAGCGACTACGTCATTATAAATAAATAAGTACGAAGCGGTAACAATCCGAACTCCAACCTTAGCACTCCGCAGGTGGCGAATATCCCCCTCCGTAGCGTGTACGAGGTGACGCTTCGCATAGAATTGGTTGTGGAGGACCTCCGCGAGGCGGCGTGGGCGCGCGCGGGACGCGTGCGCGTGCGCGACGTGACGTCCGGTCACGCGCGCGACGCCAAACACGCGGGTGACGTCACCGCCGGCCAGGTCGGTCACGCTGGCGACGCTGAGGGCGTGCACGCGCGCGACCTGCAGCGGATCCTGGCGCGGGTGCCCCACGACTGGGGCCACGTGCCGCGCACCCTATGGTGGGTGTGTTTGTTTGTCGTTTCGTAAACTTGAAACCCAAATTTGCAGTACAATGTAAATATATATAACTAGCTGTGCTGCCCGCGACTACGTCTGCGTAAAATAGGCTGAAGGCGTAACATTCACACAGAAAGATATACATAAAGATATGTATATAAATTGTAGCCTTTGTCTTATTCTGATGTATAAGCTATATTAATGTAAATCCATTCAGTAGTATTTGCGTGAAAGAGTAACAAACATCCATCCATACATACACTTTCGCGTTTATAATATTAGTAAGGATATAAATATTTTAGAACATCGTAGTCTAGTCCTTAACAAAGTGCTACCGTAGGTACAGTGGAGTTAACTTAATTCGACTTCATAATGACCGATCGTTTGTGACGTTACTGTTGTAGAAGTTTGATTTCGAACTTGTATGAGAGTTAGTTCGGTTATAGTGACCCCGCTTGTATTGAGATACGTGCGCTTATAATATTTTTTTTTTACCAAATTAAGCCAATTAGGGACGCAGATTTTATAGCTCTTGATTTTGGTCCCTTCTGGCCTGCTTTGTTTTACACACTTATCCATTCCTTCATGTCGGCGAGCTGCTTGCATCCGCTTTTATACCTTAGTGAAAAGTTACGCAGTGATTTAGTATAACAACCGCTTACACATTTTTCGTACATACGCGGATTTTTAGTTTGTTAATAAATACATATTATAGATATTGTAAAATATAGACACTAGAAAAACACTAGGTTTATCACACAATATTGTTACGCAGATTTAAAGGCATTTTAATCTGCACTTTATTTACACACTTAGACAGGTGCGATGGCACTCAAGTCCTTTTCTTATACTCCATGATCTCTTCTCACTCATTACCACTATTCCTTTTCTATAGTTTTCTCATATTCTTTTCACGTTTAGTTCCACCATCAGAATTCTGTCACGTACCGGGCCCCTTTGCATGCCAAATTTCGATCGTTTTTTGTGTAAAACGTTCCAGAATGATGACCTTCCAATTTCGAAGTAATTTGAAAGTGTAAAGACATTTAAAATACCGTCGTCAGTCGAGTAATCTTAGCCATACCGAAAAACCGGAAACCACGCCCCCTGGACGCAAGAGATTACGCACTATCCACTGCAAATCGGATCATCAAAAGATTACCTATGAAACTCTTTGGAACATCTAGTTTGCTACAGTCATGTGTGATAATTGGCATAATTCCATAAAAATTACAATTGTCTGTAAATATAGCAACACGAATTTTGGCACGCCAACATTATAATGCGATGACGCTAATATATCCATACACTACAAAAATTAAAGCTAGTTCAACCCCCAAGAATGGAACCCGAGACCCCAAATCGCGCATAGAGCAAAGAGCCGCGTCTCGATACTTGCATTTATTTCTAGACATTTTAAGCCCGGTTTCTCAAACACTGATTATCGTAGAAATTAATTAATCAACTGTCAAATTTCAAAAATGCCATTTGAGTTGCCAAAAGGGTGGTTAAACTCTTTGAATTGATGATTCTGATCATTAAGAAGATGACTTACTTGAGCTATGTTAACGTTAATGACGCAATACTACTCGCTTTTCAGGAAGGTGTTCAGGCATCTCAAGAACAAGACCAAAGATGACGAATTACTGGGTATTTAGCGTTGGCGGATCTCAAGAAGCTGTACATTAAGACGTTAATTATGCAGAGTTCACTCATCAGGAATACTGAAACACTACGCGGGTGTAAGCACAAAATGAACAAGTCTCTCCAAATGCAGTACTGGGAAGTTTAAAAGAACTGTAATTTAATCATCTTATAAGGCATTTTAAACATATGACACTCCCAAAGTCAATAGAAACGTGTTTGAAAATGGAATCGCCTAAATAAACTGTAAATCAATGTTATTTTGTTTTTTTTTTCAACCGCCATCCAAAAGGTGTTCTCAATTCGGTAATTAACCGACTTCAAAAGGAGGAGGTTCTCAATTCGATTGGTATATGATTTTTCTTATGTTTCATCATTTAGGAGCCGATTTTAATTTTAATTTTTATTCAGTTCGGTTTAGCTTCCATGTGGTCCAATTTTATTTCATTGGTACTGGTGATTTTAATTACCTTGGACGCCGGGGATACACATACCTCATCAGGGAACTCCTTGAAATCAAAGAGAAAATGTAAAGCAAGTGAGGTACTGAAGCAGTGTTTTGTTATCTGTTAATAAAAATGTTACTTGTTGTCATCGAATATTATAATATTTAACACAAGTCTGTTCCTATTTTATTTTTCCATACTATCGACCGGGTGACATGTGACATTGGCATCGCCAGCGGCGTTACTGGCCTAGAAGGAATATAGAGGCTCTCGTCAAGATCCCGAGGGCCGTGATAGGTCATAGTCGGCGCTGGCTCTTAATTCAATATGCTCGAGCAACCCGAGTTCACTCCCAGTGCTGATTTATCACCTGCTGTGAAGGAAAACATCTTGAGAGACAAATCCATCGATTGCTTCTCCGATAATTTAAATACTTTTAAAGTTAAAATATTAAAATTATTAACTATGAATAACTAAATTAACACAAAACTCTTTAGTTAGATTAGTCAAAAACGATTATACCATGAGTACGACAAATACTCTCGTTGAATGCTGTGATTACCTATAATTGAGATTACGTGTAAATTGTTGCCATATAATTTTTGTTTATTTAACTCTGTGTACATGTAATTTTGTTGGTAATCCAAAAAAAAAAATAAATAAATGAGGAAACTGCATATTTTCGAATAACAAAAAAAAATATTTGAGGTGTGAACAGGTTCAGCTAGTGGTGTAAAAATAATTAGCGTTTAAATGACTCAAATTTAAAATACAATTATGAATAAATTATATATTTTTATCTTAGTGATACAATTTTCGATTACATGCATAATTATTGCGTTCCAATTTACACTTTGTAATGTTGTACAATTAATTGCCCTTTATAATCCCTTTGCATTACAAAATTGTTGTTTTTAATTGTAGGCATACGTTTAAAAGAACTTTTGTCGACGGGAACTTCTTAGATTTGATGGACTTTACACAATACACCAAAGGTTTGATTTTCTGTTTGCTTGATGTAATAATCAGTTATTATCTTTACAATATTACAGCGGCAATTTTGTGTTTTTCGCGCCATTCCGCCATTTTCCGTGGACAAGGCGCCTCGCCGCAGCGATTTCGACGACCGGATACGTGCTTAATGTATTACCCAATTCCCGGATTGCGTCGTACACTTTACAGGGACGGATTACCTGAAAGAGAATTTTTAACTTTTGGTAGAAAACATATTGTCTTTGTCATGATAGATGTTCCCGATTTCAGTTTATAAAAATTCTTCGGGCGCGAATTCGTGGAAAGACCAAGAGCAGTTACGCATGTAGTCCATGTAGACATGCGTGCATTAACAAGATGTGGGGCCGGCTAGGGGTCGTTGTAATAAAAAAATAAAAAAAGAACCAGTAATAAAAAAAGAACTCACTTTACCGAAGACGACGTTCCGCAAATCGAACTGAGGCAGCGGTTTGAAAGTAATGTTGAAATTGCCGCACACTTCGTTGTCGCGCGTAACACGCATGGACAATAGACCTGTCGGCGTTGTAAAAACAAAAGTTAAATTTGGTCGAGCCACATGGCATCTATTAGCACGAGCAAGTTGAAGTCCAAACTATAGACGGTATTGAGGTTTATTACGGGTGGTATAAGGGGTTTACTGTGGGCTGGCCTCGCAACAACAGCATAAGTGGGCTCTTCCAGATAAGTTGGATAGCCTCTATATTCAAGCCATTATACTTTTGTTTTTCTGAACTGAAGCGCAACTTAAAAAATGTTGGGACAATATGAACACTCGGAATAAGCTTGCTTTAGCTCAGGAAAAACGAGTATGTATGAAGACTGGAGGTGGTGATTATCATCCAAAGCCTGGCATTTTATCATCTCAAGAATTTGACTTGAAAAGGAAAAGGTCCGAGAGAGCAGATGAACGGGAAGAAGAACTTCACAAGCTAAAAATACCTGAAATAGAGTGGCATGTAAAGATAGCTCAAGAACAATATAATCAGGCGCGATTAGAAAGGGAAAATGCTGAAGAACAACTTCAATATAATCGAAAAATGCGAGTAAAGGATGAAGGCAAATGAACAAATTACTGTATAGTATTGATTTTATCAATTTAGAGAGTAGTTAGATTAAAAGATAAAATAAAACAAGTTCTAATAAGTTTTTTAAGGACTTACAGATTATATGACTATATTATATGACTACGGATTATATGATGGACTATGAGAAGGCCTTTGACTCCATCGAGACATGGGCAGTGCTGCAGTCCCTCCAAAGATGTCCGGTTGACTATCGGTATATCGAAGTGTTGAATTGTTTATACAATAGCGCCACTATGTCAGTCCGAGTACAGGAACAGAGCACGGAGGCGATTCTGTTGCGGAGAGGTGTGAGGCAAGGGGATGTAATATCTACATGGAAGACGCCTTCAAACTCCTGGAATGGGAAGGACTCGGCATCAACATCAATGGCGAACGTATAACTCACCTTCGATTTGCCGACGACATTGTAGTCATGGCAGAGACGATGGAGGAGGAACACTCAATCGGGTTTCACAACAGGTGGGTCTAAAAATGGATCTGGACAAGACTAAAGTCATGTCCAATGCCCATGTAGTGCCCACCCCAGTGTTTGTGGAGAGCTCGACCCTCGAAATTGTTGACGAATATGTATATCTAGGACATGTGCAGCTCGGTAGGTCCAATTTCGAGAGAGAGGTTACTCGACGGATCCAACTCGGTTGGGCAGCGTTCGGAAAGCTACGCAGCGTCCTAACATCCAAATTACCACAGAGTCTGAAGACGAAAGTCTTTGACCAATGCGTACTGCCAGTGATGACCTACGGTGCCGAGACTTGGTCTTTAACTATGGGCCTCCTAAAGAGACTCAGCGTCGCTCAGCGGGCAATGGAGAGGGCTATGCTCGGGGTTTCTCTGCGAGATCGAATCAGGAATGAGGAGATCCGCAGAAGAACGAAGGTCACCGACATAGCCAAGCGGGTCTGTACGGCACATAGCTCGCAGAACTGACGGCCGATGGGGCAGCAAAGTTCTCGAGTGGAGACCGCGTGTTGGAAAACGCAGTGTGGGGGCGGCCACCCGCGAGATTGACTGACGATCTGTCCAAAGTCGCGGGACTTCGCTGGATGCAGGCCGCTTCAAACAGATCGAAGCGGAAATCTCTAGAGGAGGCGGAAATCTCTATGTTCAGCAGTGGACAGACAGCCTACAGGCTGAAATGATGATGATGATGATGACGGATTATAGAACATTATAACTATATTATAAACTGACTGATTATATTAATATGTTATTAGTTTCTGTTAATTTACAATCTTTATTGATCTAATATTTACAAGATTAAATCTATCTAAAATATATAAAATTACAAGTTATCTAATAAACCTAATCGATGCAGTAATAATATATCTTTTTTAGATAGATAGTTATTTTAAAGTAAAGGTATTTAAAATAATATGGTATGTCACCACCACTAATAAAATATAATTAATCTTGACATCTTATAAATTGAAAATTCTATAGTTGAGATATTCTTTTACTTACCATGAGAATATATAAATTTTATCTATCTTAATTAATTGACCCATTGAAAGCATAAAATTCCAAAGGATTTTCTGCATCTAGAAACTACTGCCTCACCGGAGAATTCTTAAAAAATTTTTATCACACATTATATATACACTTTAATTTACTTATACTAAACATATAAGAATCTCTAGGAAGTTTTACAATTATTATACTTTATAGTTTGACAATTAATTACTCAAATGGATTGAGGAAATACCTCGACTCGAAGTTTAAACGTCTAAAATACGGTTTCGATTACTTAAGGTTGGGTCGAGTGGAGGAATTTTCGAGGAAAGCACTAAGAATGTGGGTGATAGACTCGGTCGAGCAAGATGAAGTGAATATACACCGTGTCGTTACCATCGCGACAGTAAATGAACACACATATAGGGGATAACTTTTTGAAGTTGTATTAAACATTTAAATTCTTTAAACATCAATATTTACAGAGTTATAAAATTTTCCAAAACAAAGAATTTTAGAACACCCTTACCTATAAAAGCGTAACGTAAAATTCATTTGTAAAGGTCACAAAGCATATGAAAGGGTAGAATGAATTTAAAAGAGACAAAACATACTGTTAGAAGGAGAGGCTTGTAATACGACGCTGTGGCGCGAGTTGTATAGGATGTTAGAAATTTTGTTTCTTTTTTACTTAAATAGTTTGTTTGAAAAATATTTTTTTTTAATTATGGATTTTGTTTAACGTTAATATTTTTTTATGATTATTGGCAAGTAGCGTTAGACGTGTGTTCATTTATTGTCGCGATGGTAACGACACGCTGTATATATATGAATTTTAATATATATGTATGTATACGTTCATGTATGTATGTACATAAATATGTATTTATGAGTGTGTATGTGTATACATGTATGTATTTTTATGTATTTGATTTATTTATATATTATGTATGTTACTATTGCACCACCTACGTAATTAACGTTCCTTTACGCCATTGGTTGCCTGGAAGAGATCGCTATGAAGCGATAAGGCCGCCAAATTGTGCATTCCATTAATTTGTTTGTGTATTGTTCATTTTGTGTATCCTTTTATGTGTGGTGGACAGTAAAATATACATTCATCCATCCATGAAGTGACGAAAGATCCCAGACCCACCGAGCATATCCTCCAACTTACACAGTACACTAACACTGTAACAAAACCAACAAATTCCCTCGCCTATGAACCAATACAACTCGTATACGAGCGATCAACAAGCAGCAAGACCTCGGTTCGTACCGATACCAAATCCGATCAAACAATTCCTAGTCGTATATAGTCCTACCCAACGCGGAGAATCGTATCGAGCTCGTAGAATCTGGCTGTCCCAAGAGCTCTGCTTGCAATGAAGCTATAAGTCTACGGACTGAAAGCGATCAAGAACATCAATTATATAATTGCAATGAAAAGTAAAAACTTTCGTCATGCCCTAGGTCTACACTGCATTATAATAGTTTTGATGACGCTAGCAAGCCCACTTATTTGAATACTGGCTACAGTATTTTCAAACCGCTACTCTTTAGCTGCTCTTTCCTCACGGTAGGTAAGAAGCCATAGTCATTGGCAACCTAAAGCCGAACAAACCACTAAACCAACACTAAACTAATACAAGCTACCATTGGAATAGCCTCCCCAATTACCTGGGGAAGTTTTACTTATCATCAACAAATCAAGCTAAAAGACTGTCTACAACAGTATTTCTTATACCAACAGATAAATTCAACCAAACCAACCAAATATATCGCCTAAAGGCCTAAACTGTCCAAACCCGTTGTGTTCTTCGATGACTCAAAGGCGTTGAAGTCTGGCATAACTGCTGGATTTTTAAATTGTATACAATCAGTGCCCGGTTCACAGAGCACTATCTACGAACTCGACTTTATAGCAGGCGTTCATCAAGGGTCATGCCTCTCTTTTTTACTTTTAGCTCAAACTTGCTAATAATACGAAGCCGATTGCCCAGATGACTGGTTTTACAAATAGATAATCGAGGCCAAACCCATTTCATCAAAATGACCATTTCATTCAGAGCATCATTAGACTAACGGACCTAGCCTAGCTAGGCCTAGCTCTTACGGCCCGTTTTTCAGTGTTTGAGTCACCATGAGTTATTTTATTGGTACTGGCTCTGACCTGACATCGAATGCGGGAAGTGATAAGTCTCAGCGCCTATCGGCACGTTTCGACCGCGCTGCGCGTAGCACCCGAAACCGTTGTCGTAAACAACGTCGCCGCCGCGCCAGTACAGGCCTGGCACCTTCCTAAAGGCCGTACATCTTCGTATAGATGTTAATTTTTAAGTGCTTGTCGTAATTTTAATGTGGGCCACGCAAAATTCGCGCTTCGCCCATTCGCGCAACGTCTTCGCTGTTGCGTGAATGGGCAGGTCCGTCCGGGTGAGTACCACACCACACGAGACCGGTGTGAATTAGAAGTGTAACACTTAGGCCAGTGAGGTAGCCGGGGCCCACTTTATTAAAAGGGCAACGCATCTGCAACCCTACGGTTGTTGCAAATGTCCATTGGCGGCAGTTATCACTTAACATTAGGTGAACTTTCAGCTCGCTTGCCACCTTCTCACATAAAAAAACAGATGACCCTGTGCCGTAGGTACCACTAGCTTCGGCGCTGCGGTCGTGGGTTTGATTCTCACGTTGGACAAGTATTTGTGTGACCCACAGATAATTGTTCCGGACCTGGGTGTGTTCTGTGTGTGTGTAGTATTGTTCACAAGGAGGGTTGAAGTCAGGCGGCTTGTTTAAAAACCTTGACAACATGATTCACATGTTGTGGATGAGGGACTTTGTTAATGGTAAGTGGTATTGGCTTTTAAGGACCGCGGCCGCAACAAGCACTCCCAAAAGCCCCGATTCCGAACAATTATCTTCAGGTTGGACAAATACAATAAATACAAAATGGCCGTACCAGGGACGACTTAGGGACCTGCGAGAAGTTAGCCTATTCATACAACAATGAATAGCAAAGAATAGTAACTCCTTTGGTTTTACAAGTGTCTAAAGTCAGCGGTGATCACTTACTATAAGGTTTCTTTTAAAAAAATCAATCTGTACCTGAAAAAAGATGTTCCCACGTATCCGTAGCCAGACTCGCCGTCCAACAGTTCCAGAAACAGCCTGCAGGTGTTAGGGCACACGTCTTCGAACAGCTCCACCTTCAGCTCGCCGACCACTGCCCCTCCACGCAGTTGGATAGTAAGTCGCGCCCTGACGACAATTCGGGTTGTGTCGAGAGCGAAATTTGTTGCATATGTTGTGGATAACCTGTTCTTTGTCTGATGCGTGGCAAATACTGCTTCAAAACTAAACTCTACAGTTTGCGTGTTCTCCCCTCGATGAGCTATCGTGCTGACACATGGAGAGGAAAGAGACAGAACTGCACAGAACGCGATATATCAGCTTTCGAGACCCCTTCCGTAGAGTTCCCTCGATGGGCTATCGTGCTGAGACATGGATAGGAAAGAGACAGTGCACAGAACGCGAGACCGCATCCGCAATGCAGATCTAAAAGTCTACTACATGGGTAAGGAGTTGCGGCTCAAATGACGCTGGACAGGTCACGTTGCTAGAAATGGTGTTAGCAGGTGGAGTAGGCTAACCGATTATACGCCTCTAGTAGAAAGACCGTGCTGTCGGCAGACCATTTCCCGAAGGGTCGACGGTATCACGACGGCCACTGTTAACTCACACATCAACGGAAACGTAAAAGTAAAATAATATAACTTTACGCCAGCCTTATGTGAGTCCTTGCTACGAGCTTACCCATTCGTGCAGCATAAATCTGATAAACGCGTGTCCATTACTGGATGTATATTCGCCTTTTAAACCGAATTCAAAAAGGTAATCATTTCGGCTTATGTTTGTTACCCCAGAACTCCGTCATTTATGAACCGATTTTAAAAAATGTTTTTGCCTTGGGTTCGGTTTAGCTCCCGTTTTAATATCATTGGTATTAGATTTTCTGGACTTCGGACGTATGTATGTACATCACTAAAATAGTCAAAGTCAAACAGAATATATTGAGTGAGATATTTGAAGTCGGTTTTCTTTTTCAGGGTTCCATACACAAAGGGTAAAACGGGACCCTATTACTAAGATTTCGCTGTCTGTCTGTCACAAAGCTGTATCTCATAAACCGTAATAATTAGGCAGTTCGATTTTTCACAGATTATGTATTTCTGTTGTCATTAAAACAACAAATACTAAAAACAAAATATTTAATTGGGGCTAACAGACATTATTTTTTTGGCGTTTTTATAGACACGGAACCCTTCGGACGCGAGTCCGAATCGCACTTGGCTAGTATTTTGTTACTTAAAACGATTAACTTGTTTGAAGTCACCTGAAAAAAAGTATTTGGTTTCAAACATCCGACCTCAGTACCTATACCTATTAAGATATTACACTACGTTGAATATGTGTATTTCTTGTTTTATTCACATAAGGCCGGACTGCATCAAAAACTGCAATCGTTTCAACATGATATTAAATAATTATACCATACCTAACTAACACAACTAGGATGACTTAATTAAGTCGAATTTTAACGTCACTCACACGTTAAGCCACGTCAAACCGTTGTGACTACAGTGTGTATAGGAAAGACAAAGAAAAATGTGCACATAAACGTTCGTAAAATATTATTATTCTAGAAATCTGGTAATTTATTACTGATAAAAGGGGGCCTACCTCGGTCGCGTAACATCACGTGGTTTCCTAAAGGCCGAGTCTTCTACAGTCTCTTCTGGCACAGGTGAAAACAGAACGAATTTGTTCTGCGCTCTTTGGAGCATCTCACGTCGATTTATCCGCCAGTCCACTTCCAGGCTCCGAGTTGACTGCACCCTTGGACCCTAACAGGCAACATTATCGAAGAAGCGATATTACATTAATTAATTGTCTTTCTTTTTTGTGTGAGAAGGTGGAAAGCGAGCTGGCGGTTCACCTGATGTTAAGTGGTAAACGACGCGCGTGGAAAGGGTAGAAAATTTGTAGGGTTGCAAATGCGTTAAAACGTATATACATAGATAAACATATATATATATATATATATATATATATATATATATATATATATATATATATATATATATATATATATATATATATATATATATCGGAATCTCGGAAACGGCTCCAGCGATTTTCATGGAAATTTTGTATGTACGTAGATTCAGGGGCGAAAAGCTAGCTAGGCTTCATTTTTAGAAAATGTCCTTTTATCCCTGTTTTTAGGGAATGAAAAATATCATTCGAATATGACGGTAAATTTTTATTTACTTTTTTTTTATTTCCAAAATATATGATTTACCAAAAAAAACCGAGCAAAGGTCTTGGTCCTCCAGGTACTCTTCATTTCATCGTAAACTTCAGTGATACTTACAGTGCTCATAATAAGTTTGTACATGGCTTGATTATTCCTTTGCAGTTGCGTTAGGAAGTTCACTCTGTTAGCGTAATACACTTTGCTTGTAGGAAGCCGCCATTTCCAGTGGCTGTCAACTTTGCCCTACAATTAAAACATTTTTTTATTTTTTATGATGAATGTTATTTTTATTTAGAATAAAATTATTTTATGCCTTTCCGCTCGATAATATTTTTACAGATGAGTCTGAATTTTTGTGCTAAAGTGTGCAAAAGCCATAGGCGCCCATTGACATCTACAACTGTTGTGCTGTTGCGTTTTCTGTTAGAAGAACCTTTGGGTTTTCGGTTCTAGCTCTGTGAAAAGTACTTTACAGTAAAGTTTCAAAAAATAATTAGATATATTCTGCTTGTTTTTTCTTTTTCATTTAAGATAGTTACTTTTAATTGCACGTGCGTCAAATGTTTAAAACTCCCAGTGCCGTTGACTAGAAGATATTAAGTTTGACTCTCCATCTTAAATGATGATTCGTGCAATCATATATTTTTGTTTAAGTAACAATGTAAGTAAATTATTAGTCGGTAGGATTAGGGTGAACTTACGCGATTAAAATGTGCCATTCGTATCGCCATTAATATACGCGCGTTGTCCACCGCCATTTTGATTATATGTTGCCGCCATTTTCTTTCGTTTCGAAACAGTCGCCCGCAGTCGTAAATTGGCGGCTTGCAGTCTACGACCGCATTCACGTGGGCGTACTGCAACAGTCATTTTTATTGAACTGCGAGTTGACTATTGCTTTGAGTATTGTCGTTGGATGTATTATTTCGATGTATTTTCATAATCTAATAACTTACACATGAATAAAGAACATAGCTGAGAAATGGATTGCAATGCGGTTTTGCCTGAATTTGATAATTGTCCATTAAAAATATTTAGTACCTACACAAATGTCCTCACCTTGTCAATGTGCCTCTTTTTCTTTGGCCTCGGAATGCCTTCCATTTCGGGGGGTGGTGAATTGTATTTCCTTACTGAGTCCTTAGACTTGACCTTCTTTAAGATAGCACCGATAAGTGTCATGTCACACGATAATTTAGAGAGTACAAATAAAACCAGTAAATTTCAACGTCTTCCGTGACAGTGCCAAATCAAACCTGATCTATGTGGCCGGTGTTTGTAAAGATAAACGTTTGTTTGTTTGTATGAAAGTGAAAATGTTTGTATGTAAGGTCATCTTTGAAAGGACTGATTATAAAAATGTTTTCGCTAATGTAATATTTTGTAAGGTACAAGATAAATAAAAGATATATATTCCAAAAACTTTATTCGCAGTATCGTTAGATTACTACAAAAATTAAACAAAATATAGCTATACAAAAGATTACTTTCTGCATTTTATAGATATTTTATTTAGTAATATCAAATAATTGACAAAAGTGATCTTATATCCTACACGAAATTTACAGTCGCTGTTTTATCTTATAAACAAAAAAAAATTGGGAGGTGTCAAGGGACACCCGGATGGAAAGAAGTTCCTTTCGATTAATTAGTGAAGGAATTGTAATAAAATTTTATTTTTTTTAAGTTATAATAATATTTTTTTTATTATTAACAAATATAATGTGATATAAACTTAATCAGTAGGCTCAATTTTAGTAATAATTGGCCTGTGGTAACTGAAGTAAGAATCATATGTTTGGGATTCAATTTTATTTAAATGTCTTGCAAAAACTGCATCAATGGTGATATATCGTAGACGACCCGAATGGCGTAGTCGGTAGTGTACCTGCCTTCTGTGCCAGAGGGTGTGGGTTCGATCCCCACTACTGGAAAAATATTGTGTGATGAGCATAGTGTTTTTCTAGTGTCTGGGTGTTTATATATGTATAATGTGTATTTATTTACAAAAGAAAAGTATGTTTAAGTATGTCTATCAGTTTTCTAGTACCCATAGTACAAGCTTTGCTTAGTTTGGGACTAGAGAATGTTGTGTAAAAAGAACGTGTCCTAAATTTTTTTTTTATTTAGAGTTATAAAAATAATTATAGTATATTATTAAATTAATTAATTAATAATTAAATAATTAATTAATAAATTAATAATTAATTAATTAATAAAATAATAATTAATTAATTAATCATTGATTAATATATATTCGCGACACCACACTGTTCAATACGAAATAGAAATGAAAATATCTGGCTTGCTTTCTATATAAGAGAGAGAGAGAGAGACAGACAGGGAAACATGCGCACGCCGCACAGCTTACAATAGCTTACTATAGCAAAAAGTGTCGTTACAACTTTTCGTGAGAATTTTTCGGTCTAGCCCCCTTTCACAACACGCGATAAGGAACTTCGTTCCAATAAATCACGTTTTTATATGAAAAGTAGGTTGAAGATCATGGACTTCTACAGCACCTGAAAAGTTGTAGATGCGTTGCCAATTTTAAAAAAGGTGGGCCTGGTTACCTCACTCTCCATACGAAACGCGAACATGCACTCACCACACGCCCGTTTTTTATGACCCCGTGGTACTGCCCCGGACGGGCCTGCCCATTCGTGCAACAGCCGGAGCTGCTGGCTGCTCCTACCACAGGATATTGGGAGTGTCACATAGTAAACTTATATAGTATAAAACAAAGTCGTGCCGCTGTCTGTCTGTCCCTATGTATGCTTAGATCTTTAACTACGCAACGAATCTTGATACTTTTTTTAGTAGTTAGAGTGATTCAAGAGTTAGGTTTATATATGTGTAATACTTTAAACCCGTGCGAAGCCGGGGCGGGAAAATAAATCAGAAAATGATGTTGAAAAAACATAAAAAGTTTATTGGTAATAAGAATTAAAAAAATGTCACAAAACGAGATCATAATAAGTTTCCAAATAATAATAACTCCATTGGAAAATAAAGGACAACAAAAGAAAACATTTTAGTGCACAAATTATTTTTCAGTCGCTTTTTTTCTAGCAAATGCCTAGATTTCTAAGCTTACATAATGTCATTACTCTTTTCTAGAACTCTGACATTATTTTCTTGTTCAATTGATAACACTATTGTATGTATCACGTATCAAGGTCCTTCCAACTTAAGTAAACATCAGGGCAAACTTTATCGTTCGACGTCGTGGCGAGGCCATTGTTTACTTGCATGTGGACAGTTCCATGACCTGTGCCGGCTGCAGCTTTAAGCAATATTAGGATTGTGGCACTCTATTGTACTAGCACAGAGCTCACGGAGATAGCTTCACCCTGAGGGCATTAATAATTTTTAAATTATCGTTCTTACAAAAAAAAGTGTTGGGCAATGCCACCCCCTCATGCGTGAATGAATATTATCGAATATTACACTCATTACATAATTATTACAATATTACTTTTGGCGAAATTCAGATACAATTACATTCAATGAAAGTTATTATAAACATTCATTTTTTTAAATAAACTACCGCTGGAAAATCTTTTTACTACAATTCATGAATTATGTCTTCTTGCGTTATAAACGGAGAGAGAGTCTCGGGCTGACTGTCCTTGAGAAGATGAGAAATTCGTTATTGAGTGATGATGCGGATGAAATACTAGTAGGTAGTTCACACCATGGTAAGTAAAGACCGCCTCCAATTACCTCACTAAAAATAAGACGCACAAATTTCATTCCTCCACTTAAAGTTATCTGTGGGCTATAGGCATAAAAATGCTGTTGCACTAATGTTGTAACTTTCGTTACCTTTGCTCATTCGACATTTCGCTCTTGTTTCACTTCAATTATTTTGTTGTACATCAGTAGTAGAAACATAAGGATACTGGTGAAAAACGCCGCGAAACACCAAACTAGCTTGATCATTGTCCTTCGACGACAGATGCTAAACGATTAGCCATAAATACAAATGTGCTGAGTGCAATTCGCGGTCTCCATTAAATGTCACGTGAAAGATTTATGACAGCAAAGAAGTTACACACAAATACCGTTTTCTTTAATTTTTTTTTTTAAATTTTAATAGTTATGTAGTCCTAGCTTTTGATTTTTAACAGACCTTAAACAAGGCGAAGGTTCTATCTTCGGTGTAACTCTTCAAAATCAAAGAAATAAATTATATTATACCCTGAAAATTATAAATGGCAGAGAGAGGCTCTTCCCGGTCAACCCTGGGCGTGGAGAAAAATTATGGATAGTGTTAAAAATCCGATTGAATTCTTAGTTTTTTTAACTATGTAGGTAATACCTACAGTAAGTGTGGTAAAGATGTATGAATATTCGAAATAGTATAAGACCTCTACAAACCCTTTAGAACATTTTCTTTTTAATTTACGTTTTTTATTGACGTTTCATGACAACCGCGCAAACTGCAATTGGCGTAATTAACAGCCATGTCTGTTTGGGTAATTCACGGTATTCATTTACTTGTCTTCCTCCTTTTAAGGTAGACTGGACAAAATGTTGGTGTCCGCGGCCACAGCTGGTGGGGACACACTCCTGAAGGTGATCAGCCCGGAGGGGCAGACGTTTGTGGCGGCGTTCGCCGACGAGACGCTTATCGAGGACGTCAAGAACCGCGCCATAGACTACTTCTACCCGAACGGGGCGCAGGGCGCGAGCCGCTACAAGCTGATACGCGTGTTCGACACGTGCACCCTGCACGACTTCTTGACCGTAGCGCAGGAGCAGATTGGCACGCAGGAGGAGTTACTGCTGGTCGAGAGGCGGGTGCCGGACGCGGGCGCGCTGTGGGACCTCGGCGCGGTGAGAGCGCCCCAGCAGAGCGCGATAGCGGCGGCCACGGCGTCGCTGCCCCCCGCCCAGTCCACGGCGCGCCAGCCCAACCTGCAGTCGCTGCTGTCCACCAACGAGCTGACGTACGAGCTGCGCAAGATCCTAATATCGCTGATCGAGGCGGGCGCGCGGCTCGCCGCCGCCGGCAGGAACTACCGCGTGGCGCTGTCGCAGCTCTCGGCCGCGCTGGACGAGCCGCAACACAGCCGGGAGATGGACGCGCAGGTGATCACGCCCGAAGGGATAGCGGCCAGGCTCCGGCCCGTGACGAGCGACTGTCGAGGGGCGCCGTCGAGCGAGCCGGGCTCCGTCTACGAGCGCGCCGCCCACCTGCAGCGGTTCCTGGAGAAGTTCCGCGCGTGGCGGGCGCGCCTCGCGGAGCCGCCCAGCGCGGAGGCGGTGGCGGCGCTCGGCGAGCTGGGCTTCGGCGCGGCCGAGGCGGAGGACGCGCTGCGGCGCACCGGCTGCAACGTGCCGGCGGCCGCCTCGTGGCTGGTGGGCGAGCGCGGCGCGAGCGTGTTCGAGCTGGTGGACGGGCTGCCCGACGGGCTGGTGCTGGGCACGCTGCTCGGCCAGGCGCAGGTGCAGCGCGGGCTGCTGAACACGCGCATGCTGCTCGCGTTCATCGCGATGGTGGGCCGCACGGGCAGCGCCGCGCTGTGGCTCAACTCGCCCCACGGCAGCCCCCTCCTCTCGCACATTTCGCGCACGTACCACTCGGAGAAGTACTGCCTCGCGGTGAACCAGTTCTCGGACGACGCGCGCCAGTGCAACGCCGCGCCCTCCACCTCCAGGCAGCGGCGCTGACCTTTCGGATTGTCTTTTGTTTGATAATGTTCGCGCCCGTCCTCGAATAAAATTGAATTTTGCACTTGGACACGGCTTTTGAATTACTTGTCGACATATGTCTTACAATAATGTTACAAATTTTAACGACCCTCGTTCGATACGATGTCGATGCATGTCGTGACGTTAAAATTTTATATTAAGTGTATGTACTGCTAATATCTGCATTTAAAATGAAACATTAAATTGTGTAGAAAAATGGATGAAAAGTTTTTCACCGCCGCGGGAATCGAACCCGCGTCTTCCAGACGCTTCAACCACTATACTGATTGTCACGTCGACGAAAATCTACGTACTTCATCTATATATTGTTTTTTCGAATTTTACGCAATTCTTGGCATATGTATTGCTGTCTTTTACAGCACTCATACAATTTCAAGTTACAAAAAATATTTTTGATACAAAGCGTCAAATGAATTTGGCTGTATTTTTAACAGAAGGAACAAATATCAAAAAGTACCTCAAACACATAGAGATAGAGTTCATTTTCATATAGTGCTTCATATTTTTGAATACTTTGGGCGCTTAAAACTATTGGCGCTTTGTTACCATGATTATTACCCCTTGAATTAACTCATATGTTTGACGATGTTCCGATATATTTGTACAAGATGGGTGATTTACATAGTTAGACCATGATCGCTTTGGCTGTATTAATATCATTGATCACTTTAGGAGTTCTTATATATCTGGATATGGTCACTAGCGACCCGCCCCGGCTTCTCACGGGTTCAATGTATTATACATATAAACCTGCCTCTTGAATCACTATCTAGTGAAAAAACCGCATCAAGATCTGTTGCGTAGTTTTAAAGATCTAAGCATACATAGGGACAAACAGACAGCGGGACGACTTTGAATGTTATGTAGTGAAGCTGACTGTGCTACCCCTACTTAGTCCTACTGTGGATATTTTCATTGTGGAATTCATCTCGAAATCTATGTGATTGCATTGAGTGGTTTAGGATCGAGCGCTTCGTGGCAGTTTTTGGCCATGTTTAGCAGTGGACTCGAAAAGTTTGAATCGTTTTGACGGTGAATATTGAGACCACGCTGGAGTCAATTCCATCTTCACCGACCATCAACTCACCCGAGTTTGCCAAAACAGGAAGTTAGACCAAATAATTTCTTACGCCTAGCCCGTTCCTTGGAGAAGGAAAATTATCTAAAGTAAAGAAAGAAAAATGATATCAAAGGAACATTGAATTTTCTTTGTACTCGTATTATAGTATGACTATTTTATGTCTTTTTCATTTTGTGTGCTTAAACAGAAGTATTAAATAAAAACAAAGCATCCAAACAAAACATTTATTTTCACAACACTGAAAAATTAAAACTAAGACCACAAGCGAAAAGGTTAAAGCACAACACAATTAGGTGCAATTATTTCTGGCAAATGATTGTTACTCGTCAGACAACCAACACAGATAATAAAAAATAATACAACCTAACATGACGCGAATTTCATCGAAAAAACTTTAGTTAATACTGCTATTAAATAATACTTTAACACAATCAAATCACTTGGAATGTGACTAGTATAGTTAATCGATCATATTTTTATGAGTAAAATTGTTACTGCATTTACACTAATTATTTTAGTGAGTAAATCGTGAAATAAAACAAATAACTTTCGTAAAAATATGGTTTTAAAATAAAATCGGGAATTAATGCAAGAAACGAGATCATACAATTCATGGTAAATATAATTTTCATAACTCCAATAGCAGGGAGGAATTTGTTTTATCATTGAAAATAAAACTAAGTTAAAAAATTTGTAAAAGCTACAAAAATTACTAAAAAAAACAAAGGTCTTTTTTAATACATGTAAATGTCACATACTGATAAAGGCATCAAATAAAAATAAAATCGAATTGCGCTCAACTCTAAAATCATCGAGACCATTACGTTCCAGCGATAACATTAGGAGACTTATATAATCCCAAGCTTCATATATTTTATCGAGTATTAATAATTTTCCAAATCGTCGTTCTACACGTAGATTTTATGCGTAACGCGAAAGCAAGGCGATAGTTAAACGTGAGATTAACGAGCACTAAATAATTTCATAACGCGCGCAAAACCCAAATGCTCGTCTGAAGTCCGTCCAAGTCGCCCAATAGATTGCATTCGTATTACCCTCTCGTTCGCGCCGCAGTGCCAATCGTGTTCCGTCTCGCTCACACAACTCTACACAGTCGACAACTTCGGTAATGGTTTTGTGAACAGAAATTGATTTAGATATTTAACGATATTTGCACACGATGATACATGCTCAGTTCGCAGGCCGCCTGTTTAACATTCAGTGGATTAAGTTAGCGATTAGTCGACTTTTGCACTTGACGGTACATTGCAGAGCATACGGGTTTGTGAGTATAATCTGTAACATTTAGTAGGATTTATTCAGCGTTTACTCGACTTTTGCGCTCGACGGCACAGCCTCTGAACGCAGAGCCATACTATTATTTTGTGAGCACAATCTAAAGTATTAAAATTTGTAGAAAAGTGCAGAGATTAGCACTATAAAAAATTTAAATTTACAATCTATAGTATTATGCGACAACTCGATTTTTGCACTCGACGGTACGTGCTCAGATCGCAGAGCCATTTAGTATGTTTTGTGAGCGTTATCTATTATATGGTATTAAGTGATAATTCGACTTTTGAACTCGATGGTACGCGTTCGATACGGGAGCTTCTCTCGCATAGTAGTTTTGCGTGTAGCGTTCGGTCTACTGGTCTACTGGTCTATTGGTCTACTGGCGCTGCCTTAGAGCGACGGAGTGGGGGCGCGGCACCGCCGACTGGGGGCGGGCGAGCCTGGTGCCGGGGCGGGTGCCGCCCGCCGTGGAGTAGGACAGGTAGCGGTCCGACAGGTCCGGTGGCTCCAACTGCGGAAAGCAAATGTGGCTTAAAAATACAGGTCCCACTGCTGGGCAAAGGCCTCCTCTGAACAGAAGGTGCTAGGAATAGTTCACCACGCTGCCCCATTGCGGATTGGCGGATTTCGCAATGTTCGAAATATTTTTTTTGTTATTATTACGAATATTATGGCCGGTATATATGCTCAACCCTGTATATCTTTTGGTAACACACTTTAACTGCACAAAGGGTTTTATTTCTCAAATGAGTAATTTACATGAGGTAGAAGAAAAGTATGACGTAGAGATGGACGTACGTATACAGTCCATACACAACGGTAGAATGAGATAGAGACAGTTATTTTGTAAAAATTTAAGCAAACGGTAGTTGTAAATACAGTTACGTACACTGCGACATGAACCTTATACAGTTTAATAGTGTATTTGTTATGTATTTAATATGCACGTGTAATGATACTGGTATAGTCGTATATAACACATATAAAATCTTTTGCAGTAAGCAGTACACGTTTAGAAATTTTAAATGTTAAAGAAATGCTATTTCAACGCATTATTCCAGTTTCACTCGTTTACAGTCGAATGTTTCAGGTATTGTCGTGCCCACTGTATTTAAGACTGTATGATAAATTTGGATATGAAGTTTATGTCGATCCGACTACTTCATTTATTTTGATATGCCACTGCGTATGCATTTGCTCTTTACGTGTACAAACATCCTTGTGCACATGTATAATGCCCCAAGAACAGTCATACATATTGCATATAGGATTGAATAATGACTTTGGATATGCATTGAACTCAGTATAGTCGTATAATAAATTTGGATATGCAGTGTATTCGGTACAATCGTGTAAAGAACAAAGCATGCAAACATCCTTATGCCCGTGATTTAAAAATAATAATAAAGATTTCATTTTGGGTACGCAATGAATTCAGTATAGTCGGTATGGTGAGCATGCAGTGTATTAAGAACAGTCGGGCAATAAATTGGACACGCTGTACGTATGCTAGTACATTCGGACGATAAATTTAGATATGAAGTTTATTAGTATAGTCGGGTGATGAATATTGGCACCAGTGTGTCGAGTACAGTCACGCACCGCGCCCAGTATACAGCGTGTCTTTACCATTGCGACAATAAATGAACACACATATAGAGGATAACATTTTAAAATTTTATTAAACATTTACATTCTTTAAACATCAATATTTACAGAGTTATTAAATTTTCCAAAAGTCTGAATTTTAGAACACCCTTACCTATAAAAGCGTAACGTAACGTTCATTTGTAAAGGTCACAAAGCATATGAATGGGTTGAATGAATTTAAAAGAGACGAAACATACTGTCAGAAGGAGAGGCTTGTAATACGACGCTGTGGCGCGATTGTATAGGATGTTACATATTTTGTTTCTCTTTTATTTAATTAGTTTGTTTGAAAAATATATTTTTTTAAATTATGGATTTTGTTTAACGTTAATATTTTTTATGATTATTGGCAAGTAGCATTCGACGTGTGTTCATTTATTGTCGCGATGGTAACGACACGCTGTATATCCACACGCTTGCACGTGTGTATATTGTTCCGAATACTGCTACGTTCACTGCATCTAAGATAGCGTGATGAATTTGGATATGCTGTGAAATCAGTACAGCGTGTAAAGTGCAAAGTGTACAAACATCCTTGTGCTTATTGTCTCAAGTACAGTCATCTATATTGCATATAAGACATTTATAAGATTTCATAATGAATTTGGATATGGAGTGTATCCAGTACAGTCGCGTAAAGAGCAAAGTGTGCAAGCATCCTTGCGCGCGTGTGTATTGTCCCAAGTACAGTCATGTACATATCACGTAAGAGTTCATAATTTTGATATGCAGTTCAGTACAGTCGGGTGATGAATTTGGGCATCGGCGTGTCGGGTACAGTCGCGCGCTGTGCACAGTGTACCCACGTGCTTGTGCGCGCGCTGAGCGCTGCGCTGGTGGGGCGCGCTCATGTTGTTGCCGGTGTACGCGACGCACTTGACCTGCCACTCGCCCAGCTGCTCGTTCCAGTGCACGTACTTGTCGATCAGCGCCTGCGGGCGGAATGGACAGTCAAGGCCGAATAATAGTCTTTTTTTTCATGTGAAAAGTTGTCAAGCGAGCAGGCGGTTCACCTGGTGTTCAGTAAACACCGCCGCCCATGGACATCTGCTACACCCGAGTTTCTGCTACACACAGGTTTCACAATTAAATATTCGCTTATTCATCAATTATCATTCGCTTACCTAATTCACAAGATAAAACGCGAGACTATAACACTTCCATTTCACGCTGCTTAGTCATCGGCTTCGGTGCCGGGGCTCGTGGGTTCGATTACGGAACTGATAATTGTTCCGGATATGGGTGTTCGTTCCCAAGGTTGTTGCGTAATTAAAAAGCGAGTCAATAACATTAACGACATGATTCACGTGCTGCAGCAATCCCATGGGGTAGGACAAGGACAGAAGAAAGAAACAAAATTCGACCTTGACCTTTGATTCCGTCGACGCTATTAAATATCAACCCAATACCATTAAAAACATGATTTGCATGTTGTGCCGACCTCACCTAGATGGGATAAAGGCAAAAGAAAGAATATAGAAAAAAAACTACGGTAGGGTCATGCAGCAGCCTCGGCTGTTGCACGAACGGGCAGGCTCGTCCCTCGTAAATACCACGACCTCACAGAAGACCGGCGTAAAGTGTAAGTATAATACCTCCGCGTTTCGTCTGGTGAGTGAGGTGGCCGGAGTCCGATTTTCAAAAGGTTGTCAACGCATCTGCAACCCTCGGGTGTAACAAAAGTCCATGGGCGGTGGTATTCACTTAGCATCAGGTGAACCGTCCGCACATAAAAAAATGCATCGGCAGCCCGTCAGGCGCGGGGTCCACGATTGGCAATCGCTCCACAGTGCCCTTCCACATAAAACCGCGAAGGTCACCTGGTACTCCTTGGGTATGTAGGAGTCGAGCACCAGGTCTGCGAGCTGGATCTCGCGCTTCAGAGCCCGCACTCCGTCCAGGATGCCCTCCATCTCGCGCTGCTGCTCCCGCTGCTGGTCGGCCAGCTCCGCCTGGAGAGGCCGTAGGAGTTGGGAGGGTTACTCCGACATGAAAACGCCTTCAGTATATTCATACTGGCTGTACGAGCTACGCACGGGATGATCACGAAACGGCGTCAATTGCACGCCTCATCATTTTTGTTTTAACGTAAAATAATCGGCATCGATTTCGCAGTACGCTGTCAGTCGTCAAGCATGTCACGCGTCCCCATTTATCGGTATCAAGTAGTTTATTAATTTTCGGATAATACAGTTGTTTTAAACAATATCAAGTGTTTTATATCAAGTTCTAGGAAACCTAAATTACTACACTAGCTGAACCAGGGCACGCTTGGCTGCGGCGTTTATTTCGTTTCCGTTGAAAATTCGGAATTAAAAGTATATAAAAACACTATGCCATTCAATAGATATGTTGTGAATGTTGTGAAAAAAAAAGTTGATACTTGATCAAATTAATCCATCGGCCAGTTTCTGAGTCGGACACATGCATACGGAAGCTAAATTTTTATATATAATGAATATGAAACAAAAAATGTTTAAACATATGATTCGTTGAGACTGTGTTGATTGTTAATTTTTTTTATATACAATCCACACAGCAAAGTCCTTTCTCAGGCTCTAGACTATCTGTGTACCAAATTTCATTTAAATCGGTTCAGTAGTTTTGGCGTGAAAGCGAGACAGACAGACAGAGTTACTTTCGCATTTATAATATTAGCATGGATTTGAGCGTCGCAAACGGCAAGGCGTCATTCGTTGTGACGTTCTAAGGGCTTTTATCCAACATTGGACGTCTTGAAGCTGATAATGATGATTGTGACCATCTGTGAAGTCTTCATTTTTAAGTTTTTGTTATAATGAGAAGATAATATAAGAAGCTACCCGATCGGCATAGTGGTTACTGCGGGTTCGATTCCCGCTGTTGGAAAAATATTGTGTGAACATAGCATTTTTCTAGTGTTTGTGTGTTTATATATCTGTAATATGTATATATTTATAAAAAGAAAGTATGTTTAAGTATGCTTAACATTTACTTAATACGAGTTATTCTTAGTTTAGGACTAGAAAACGTAGTGTTATATATGTATTTATTTATTTCACCTTGGCCGAGTTGAGGAGTTGCACCGCCCGCTTCAGCTTCCGGGTCTTCGCGGCGTTCTCCTCCTGCAGGCTGGAGTAGCGCTCCTCAAGGTCCAGACGCTCCGCCTGTGACGAGAGAATCAGGAGAGGCAATCAGAAATAGTGGCGAAAGCAACGAACCTCGATAGAAAATAGACAATGTGAAAAGGCTTATTTGTTGGACTAATGGTATGTATTGTTTTCTTTGTTTTTTTATTTTTAAAACACATTGCCCCAGTTTAGGATAATATTATCTTTTAAAGATCTAATTAAATTTAATCTCATAAATAGGAACAGACAGACAGCGGGACGACTTTGTTTTATACTATGTAGTGATAGTGAAAAATAATCAACGCATCTGCAACCCTACGGGTGTTGCAAATGTCCATGAGCGGACGCAGCATTCCTTATTGTTGCAATAACGGCCAGGTCTGTCCGCGGAAGTACCACGGCCTCGCAGAAGACCAGCGTTAAGTGGAAGTGTTACACTTCTGCGTTTCGTCTGGAGAGTGAGGTGACCGGAGCCCACTATATTAAAAGCTGGCAACGCATTCACACCCCTACAGGTGTTTCAAATGCCGACGGGCGGTTATGACTTAACATAAGGTGAACACCAGCTCGCTCACCTCCTTCTTCATGAGGTCCTCCTGCAAGCGAAGCTCGTTCAGGCGCCTCTGCTCCAGCTCCCTGGCGGCCTGCTCCAGCAGCCGCCGCTGGGCCTCCGCCTTGTCCAGCAGGTTCTCCCCCCCCACCAGCACCTTCGACTCCAGCCGCTGCAACTTCTCCTTCAACTCCTCCTGTTGCTTCCTGCAGAAAATTCAAATATCGTTATTCAATATAGCAGCATTACAATTACTTATTGATTGTCAAAACGTAGCGGACGGGGAATAAGTTATCGCGTTTTATTTTCCCTTTGTATTGGGAACGTTTCGAAAGCTTTACACTGTTTACACTGTGAAATACTTGAAATGTCGGAAGTTTAATGTCGGAAAACAAATCGAACATTCAAGTTCATTAAAATTCAATGCTGTCGGATTGGATTCCACGACTCATGGCCATATGGCCCAAAGTCATAAATATCTACTAAGCATATGGTCACTGTCATAATATTTAAACTAACCATTTTTATCAGCCACGTGACTGGGATTCCCACATACACATGATCCATAAAGGATTTTTCTCACGAAGAAAATAAAAGGTATCAGCTACGTGATAGTTCAATGTTAAATGTTCTCAACTTTTATGCCTACTGTTCTCTCATATATTTTATACGAAACTGACAACTTAACTAGTTGTCTAGACAAACTACAGTAATGGGGGCCTAGAAAAGTTAACACTCACTGACTAATTTGCACCGACAATTTATATCTCAGCTATTTTATTAGTCAAAACAATGTATGCTGATTTCTGCACTTAGGATGAAAATGGTTAGATTAATTACCGAAAGTTATCGCCGCTGCCGGAATTCCAGATACTCCTAGACGCTTTATACTATAAGCGGTCGACATTTGCACAGCGCGAAAATCTCGACGTCTTGTCCACTTTGCTTTTTAATTCATTTTTAGCAATGCCTTAGCATTAGCACCTTAGCATTGTACATAGCAAGTGCTCGCGACTTCTTTAAGACATAAACTTAAACATTATCCTTCCAATTTATTTAATTTTAACATAGAGATGTTGGTAATAAGTTTTTTATGTAGGGTATATAAGGTTCGGGTCTAAAAATAAACCCTTTGATGACTCCGTGGCGCAGTTGCCAAGGTATTGGCTTCGGCGCCGGAGGTCGTCGTTTCGATACACGAGACAAGTATTTGTGTGACCCACATATAATTGTTTCGGATCTGGGTGTTTGTGCGCGTGAAATTTATGCATGTATTATTAACGAAAAACAAAACCGACTTCAAAATCTCGCTCTGTATTCATTTTATAATTGATTTTCTGGAGTTCCCTACGTAGCCCAAGATCCAATACCAATGAAATGATATACAGCGTGTCGTTACCACCGCGACAATAAATGAACACACATATAGAGGATAACTTTTTAAAATTGTATTAAGCATTTACATTCTTTAAACATCAATATTTACCGAGTTATTAAATGTTCCAAAACAAACAATTTTAGAACATCCTTACGTATAAAACTGTAACGTAAAGTTCACAAAGCATATGAATGGGTTGAATGAATTCAAAAGAGACAAAACATACTGTTAGAAGGAGAGGCTTGTAAGGCGACGCTGTGGCAACTAATCAAAAAGTTTCTGAATGTATGAATCAGTCAGTTGTACTCCATTAGTTTGTTTGAAAAAAAAATTAATTATGAATTTTTTTAAAGTTTATATTTTTTTATGATTATTGGCAAGTAGCGTTAGACGTGTGTTCATTTATGGTCGCGGTTGTAACGACACGCTGTATAATATGGGGATCCCATGTGGCCCCAGATCTCCAGCACCAGCTTTCAAATAAATAAAGAATCATCAAAATCGGTTCACCCAGTTAAAAACTATGAGGTAACAAATATAAAAAAAAATAAAAAAAAAAACAGTCAATTCTGAACCTCCCCCTCTTTTGAAGTCGGTTGAAAACGTCCTTACGATAAAGAATAATGTGTCAAAAAACTATTAAATAAATAATTATCCAAGCATAGCTCTGATAATGTATTTTTGAAAATTGATATGATATGATATTTATTTATTTCTATAATAATATCAGTACAGAGCATTTATATCTAATTAATGTTAGTTACACTAAGAAAAAGACAATGAGTACACTGTGGCTCCCAAACTAGGCAGTGCCTGTATCTTGGGAGCCGGAGTGCGCTTCATAAAAAACATAAAGTGTGTGTGTGTGTGTGTGTGTTCGTGTGTGTATGTATGCGTGAGTGCGCGAGTGTGTGTTTTGCGGATGTTTCGTATTACTTAAGAATATTTTCAGTTTCCTCGTAATCGAAAAAAATCGCTCACTTAGTCCTCTGCAGCTCGGCTTTCTTTTCTTCTAGAACCTTCCGCGCTTGGTGCGCCTTCTCCCTGTTCAGCTTCTCCTGTTATAAAAATAGTGTAATAAAATGAGAGTGCAGAATTAGGGCCCTGTACCGCATGTGAATATAATTATCATGTGATATCATTGTAGATTATTATATTATGGTACAATTTTATGGAAACTTTCTATAGAAAGTGTCCATAAAATAGAATACACAGATGGCGCCAGTGCCGGATTGCAAGCGCGGTGCCCGTAGCAAATTCTTTCAAACAGCCCGTGATCTGCTATGTGTTCTCAAGTATAAAGTGGTACAAAAACAATTCATACTTACTTATTTAATCAGTTTCACTCAAATAATTAAGGCTCAGGCAAATATGGGTGGGTTTAAATGTGCGGGGCCCGCAGAACTCTTGCTATGTACCTCGGTTAATCCGGCACTGGATGGCTTTACCGTCCCGTAAGTTGTACATTTCAAAGGCGCCAAAATCATTAGAACATTCACCACACTACGTTGTCCTGACCAATCAGGTTACTCTTATACTGTATCAGCGCAATTGTGGTAATTTATTGATCCCTATACATCTGTGTGTAGTCTCTGTAGACTCTGTAGTATTGATATGGCTGCTTCTGGGCACTCGCTTTTAATTCAATATATCTCCTCGAGCAAACTAAAAAAAATCCCAGTGCTGGCACCAATTAAATTGTTAATTGTAATTTTAAATGCTCACTTATCACGTACTCGGCAAAACCCTGAGGAAAACTGCATATTTTCGAAATAATGACAAAAAGGCTAAGAAACATTCTTAAAACTCAATGAAAATAATACAAACAATCCTGTCTACTTAAGAAGGTATTTAAATCATCATAGTTAAATGACTAAACAGCATTATAAAGAGCGGTTAGAAGGAGAGGTATAGAATGGATTTAAATCTGGAAATGAACATAGCAGACAATATAGAGTACCTATTTATAAATACGAAAAGTCGGAAAGAGTTGTGGTGTTGCTCAAATAGTCGAGTACCTTCTCCTCTCTTCTCATCTTGCGGCGTATCTTCTTCTCTTCAGGGTCGAGCGCGTCGAGCTCGGGATCTGTTAGGGTTTCGTCTGTCAACTCCTCCTCGCTGGGTTCCTCCTCACCCTCTTCCTCGATCTCTGTTGGAACCGTTATCTTGTGAGTCAAACATTTTACTTACAATTTTAGCTTACATCTCAATTTAAAGTAGCAATATTATTTTATTGCAAATTATTTGTTTATTAGATTACAAATAGTTAAAAATTGAGGTGTAAGGTAAAATTATTGGCTGGATTGAGTAAGTATCGAATAGATAGCGCTGTGTTAAAAGTCGAAACGTAGATTTGACGCCGACGAAGTTGCGCGGGCCAACTAGTTGATACATATTAAGAAGAAAGAAGATAATGCTGCGCCGTAAAACACATGAAGGGCAATATTGGACAAGGACCCTGTTATAAATTTGATGACTCCGTGGCTCAGTTGCCAAGGTACTGGCTTCGGCGTCGGGGGTCGTGGGTTCAATTCCCACACGGGGCAACTATTTGTGTGACCCACAAAAAATTTTTTCCGATCTTGGTGTTTGTGCACGTGAAATTTATGTATGTAAAACGTCTTTACAACAGAGGATAATGTTATCCTACAGTAGTACTGTTTAGCAAACAAAACAAAAATAAAATAAAAATAAATTAGTTATAAAATTTCTCTTGTATATAAGCGAACTGGAACAGCAATCTTCTAAAGAGAATAGGAGACAAAAAAAAATAAAATGATGTTTGACATTTTTAATGAAGAATTTTATGTAAGTTATGGCGTACCGACAAAAACACACTTTGAGAAAAAATTTAATATAGAAGTTATTTACCATTAGCGGTCTCTTCGAGTTGCTTCTTCAGTTGGTCAATCTCTTGCTGGAATCTGCACAGAAAAATATATGAAAGACATTGTTAATACCTATAATATTTGAGGATTTACCCTCGATTTCTCTAGGATTCCAGCATCAGATCCTGACTTGGTGCCAATGGGACCACCTCAGGAGTATCTTTCAAATAAAAAATAACAATATTTTTGGAGTTCCGTACCCAAAGGGTAAAACGGGACCCTATTACTAAGACTCCGCAGTCTCTGTCTGTTCGTCTGTCACCAGGCCGTATCTCATGAACCATAATAGTTGGACGGTTGAAATTTTCACAGATGATGTATTTCTGTTGCCGCTATAACAATATCATCATCATCATCATCATCATCGTCATCATCATAATAGCCTGTTTGAGTCCACTGCTGAACATAGGCCTCCCCCATAGACTGCCACGAAGTACGATCCTGAGCCACCTGCATCCATCGACTTCCCGCACATTTGCACAGGTCGTCACTCCATCTAGTGGGGGGTCGTCCCACACTGCGATGGCCAGTACGAGGCTGCCACTCGAGAACCTTTCTTCCCCAACGGTTATCGGTTCTACGAGCTATATGGCCGGCCCATCGTCACTTCAGCTTGCTAATCCTCTGAGCTATGTGGGTTACCTTGGTTCTACTGCGGATGTCGACTATAACAACAACTACTAAGAAAAAAGCAGAATAAAAATATTTAAGTGGGGCTCCCCATCATCACAGACACGATTTTGCCGTTTTCATAGACAATGGTACGGAACCCTTCGTGCGTGCCGACTCGCACTCTGCGACTCCATGGGTACAGAAAGTGGCCACCGAGGTATCAGTGGGTAAACCCCAACTGTCACATTGATAAATGACGGCCCCCCGATACAAAAAAGAAAGGCGCTCACCTGGTGAGGAGCGCATCTCCCGGCTCGCTGTTCACGTGCGTCTTGTTCTCGATGTTCTTCGCCCGGTTCGCGTAGCGCAGTGTGCTGATAGTCTCCACGTAGTTGCACTCGGCAGGGCCGATGGTCGCGATCTGAAGAAATAAACGAGAAAGATATGTGGGCGTCCTTTTTTTTTTTTTTTTGGTAAATAAATGTATTTTCTCTCTTTCTTTCTACATAACTGAACAGAGAGAGAAGGAATAAAACGTTCACTGCACAAATACGCCATGTAAGGATTGAGCAGTTCTAATGTCTTAGGTGTGTACATTTAAACCGCAAACATAAAAAAATACATAGTAAAAAGAAAAAAAAATATTGCGAAACGCACATCACACATTTGTACACACACACTTGTGTGTGGCGTATACGGCAAACAGACCGATTTCTATTCCCTCTGTAATGTCTGGGCTGTCTGTTTTTGAAAATTCATATAGTAGCTTTCCGAAAAATAAGAGCTTTTTGGTAAAAACCTCACTTTGCCTCACTATTTAACATAACTTCCGAAAATTTGGTCAGTACACGCTACTCTAACGCCCAGTTAGAAATTAACTAAACACAACTTTAAAATATGTAGAAAAAGTGCGAAAAGATTGTCGCCGCTGTGGGAATCGAACCCACGTCTTCGGCATTTGCGGCCTGACGCTCTAGCCACTGAGCTAAACGGCTGATTACCACACCGACGAAAATCTTAACGCATTCTTCCACATTGGTTTCTTAGCATTTGAAGCAATGCTTGGCGCCATCTATTGTTATATCCTTTCCAGCATACAAACAACTTCGAATATCGTTTTACAACGATAATTCGAACGAGAGATGTCGCCATTGCTTTTTTAGAAATTTAAATTGTTTATAGTGCTAATCTTTGCACTTAAGATTGAACATTAAAATATGTAGAAAAACTTTTTCTAGCAGTCGAAGCTGACACGGCTTTAATGTTCAATCTTAAGTGCAAAGATTAGCACTATAAACAATTTAAATTTCTAAACACAACTTATCAAATGGCTTATATTGAACAATCAAATTGTTTCAACAATCATATCCTTTTGGAAACTCAATTGACATTGAACAAGCCATTTGACAACTGATTAGTTAATTTCTACGTTTTAATAAACGTGTAACACTAATGTGTTTCAGAAACCGAACGTAAATGTTGTAAAACAAGCCAGGTGTTTATTTATTTCTTCACACTAGATTTGTTCGGAGCCGTGATAGCTCGGTGTCCGGCGCTCGCTTCCTTATACTCGAGCCACCTGAGTTCAAATACAGGGAACCATGAAATTGTTAGTTGAAATTTTAAGTTCTCACTCATCTCGTGGTCAGCGGTGGAGGGATAAGATTGGGAGTAAACCTGCATATTTTTTAAATATTAACAAAAAAAATATATTTCTAAGATATGTAAAGTCCGCCAACTGAGTGTCTATGCCCTAACACCCTAGTATAGAGGACACATATGCTGCTGGGCAGTGGGTCTATCTCGTCAAAATCGTTTCGCTCAGCCAAAAGTTATGAGGTAACAAACATTAAAAAAAATACAGTACCTTTTGAAGTCGGTTAAAAATAAAAGTATGTTTAAGTATGTTCATATTATTAGTTTTGTAGTACCCATAGTACAAGCACTGCTTAGTTTGGAAGTAGAGAACGTTATGTAAAAATCTGTTTTTTTTTATGTGAAAAGTTGCCAAAGTCGGTTCACCTGATGCTAAGTGAATACCGCCGCCGATGGACATCTGCCACACCCGAGGGTTGCGGATGCGTTGACAACCGAAAAACGAAACGAAACGTGTCCGAAAACTGCGCGCGCCGTTGCTCCGGCCGATGCATTTTGAACCTTAACACCGCCCATTAAGGTGCCCTCACCATGACGGTCTTGGAGTTGCCGCCGAGCGAGTCCTGCAGCAGCCGCGTCAGCTTCGAGTTCCTGTACGGTATGTGGGTGGACTTGCCGTCGACCAGCGCCGATATCACGTTGCCCAGGACCGACAGCGACTGGTTGATCTTCGTGGCCTCCTTCAGGCGGGTGCCGGTCGCCTGAGTCTTGCTCTGACGCTCAGAACCCTGCGAGAGGTTTTAATAAATTAATAATAACTAATAGTTTTTTTTTATGTTTGGCTCTATCTCCCGAACCGTTAGTCTGATTGTGATGTAGCTTTATAAAAAAATAAAACGGCGTCACAACGCAGGCAAGCGTTATCTAGTGAGAAATGAAATAATTATACCAATTGAAATTGAACGTAATATGTGGATAAGTGACTGTGTTCACTCCCTATTAATTCGCGCTGAAGAGTTCGAATCTTTAATTAAATTGTTTATTGCAAACCAAAACGCTTTTTCATCATGCTTTCATCGGTGAAAGTATTAGGTATTTTGCATAGAGTTTCTGACATGTTTAGACTCCCAGCGATAGGTGTTTGAAATTAGCTACATCAACATTCTAATTTCAGTAATCAAACCCATCTGTAGATAGAATATGGAAACCAGCCGTCAGCAATGCTGTTGAATAGAAGACATCCACAGATGATGGAACGGCCTACCGCCAGGTCGACCCGCATCGAAAGAGTAATAAAATAACGTGGCTGGTGCATTATATTGAATAGAAGACAGGCGGAGATGGAACGGCATTATGTTGAATAGAAGACAGGCGGAGATGGGACGGCATTATGTTGAATTGAAGACAGGCGGAGATGGTACGGCATTATGTTGAATAGAAGACAGGCGGAGATGGGACGGCATTATGTTGAATAAAAGACAGGCGGAGATGGGACGGCATTATGTTGAATTGAAGACAGGCGGAGATGGTACGGCATTATTTTGAATAGAAGACAGGCGGAGATGGGACGGCATTATGTTGAATAGAAGACAGGCGGAGATGGGACGGCATTATGTTGAATTGAAGACAGGCGGAGATGGGACGGCATTATGTTGAATTGAAGACAGGCGGAGATGGAACGGCATTATGTTGAATAGAAGACAGGCGGAGATGGGACGGCATTATGTTGAATTGAAGACAGGCGGAGATGGTACGGCATTATTTTGAATAGAAGACAGGCGGAGATGGGACGGCATTATGTTGAATAGAAGACAGGCGGAGATGGGACGGCATTATGTTGAATTGAAGACAGGCGGAGATGGTACGGCATTATTTTGAATAGAAGACAGGCGGAGATGGGACGGCATTATGTTGAATAGAAGACTAAGAACTGCCTACCGCTAAGTCGACCAGATGGAGCTTGCCCATCTTGACGTGGGTCTTGCCATCGGCGCCCTTCTTGCTGCTCTCCACCGTGATGGAGAAGATCGCGTGGGACCTGGAACTCTCGATGTTCATCGCCGTGGCGCCGATGTGCCGGTTCCGGTTGCCCACCGCCATTATCTTCTCCAGCTCGTCCGCGTTGTGCACCACGTAGCCTGGGGGTACAATACATGCTTTAACTAACGACAATTCATTAGGTTTACCCGTTTTACCCTTTGGCTGTACCCATAGAGTACCACCAAAGGGTACAGCCAGCGTAAAACGGGAACCCTATTACTAAGACTTCTCTGTGTGTCTCTCTGTCCGTCTGTCACCAGGCTGTATCTCATGAGCCGTGGTAGTTAGACAGTTGAAATTTTCACACATGATGATTTCTGTTGCCGCTATAACAACAACCTACTAAAAACAGAATAAAAAAATATTTAAGTGGGGCTTACATACAACAGACATGATTTTTTCGCCGTTTTCATACAAAATGATACGGAACCCTTCGTGCTCGAGACCGACTCGCACTTGGTCGGTTTTCTATTAATCTAGCTCTAAAAGAAGGGTGATAATCATAAACAACCAGTCCTTGAAATCTGACGGTCTTACATTTGAAGGGTAGGATTCGATTTGTTTATATCATGAACAAGTTTAGAGGAAAGAAAATAATCATAAACAACCAGTCCTTCTTTAAATATGAGGGTCCTAAAGTTGAGGGGTGGAAGTCAAGTCAAGTTGAGAGGAATGATTTTGTTCCTTTTTTGTGTGAGAAGGTGGCAAACTAGCTACTAGAGATGGGTCCATTCCGCTTCGTGCTTCCACACGGAACGGACGTTACTCTGAGCCGGAGGGCCCATGCCAACCGACCCGGTAGCCATTTTGCAACCGTTGTTGCTACTTATATTATTTCTTTTATCTCTTCGTGTGCACTGCTTGCCTCATCGTTGTCGTGTTTCGCGGTCTACGGTTAGGGAAGTCTCAAGCAAGAAGAGTGAAGAAAAGTTATAGAAGAAAGAAGAAACATTATAGAAGAACGAAGAAACTTTGCCCGACTTCCGAGCGGATAGTGTTAGTGTAGTGTTGTGCTCGTAGGCAGGTTCCTGTCCGTAAGTAGAATTCTACACACATTTCTCGTCTCAGAGGCGGCATTGCAATTTTTACCTGTGTGCTTGTTGCATTAGGCGACAGCTAGGTACTCACCCTAGCGCACCTAAAGCGCAGGCGATTAAAGGTTAATTTTAGGCACATACCTCCCTGCCGCAAGGTGGGGAGGCCTATTTAGTAAAACCACACGCCGGCGGGGCGCAAGCCCCAAAGGCTCAAGCGTCGACATGGGTTCCCTCATAGAGGAATTCCTGCGTCAAGAATGCCCCGAATTATGGGTAAAATATTTGAATTTCGCGAGGGAACGACGCATCGTCGTCGAATTCTCTAGCGACAGTCCGGCTTCACCGGCTGCCGCCTCGCCGCCATCTCCGGTGCCCTCTGCGCCAGCTATTGTGTCGCCCTCTGCGACTATCGAAACGCCCGTCGCGTCGACCTCCGCCGCCGCGATCGATCCTAACGCGCATTCCGCGCAACCAATTTCGGCCCCCTTCCGCGCTGTCGTTCCCGACTCACAATCGGACGGCGGCTCAGACATGGAGGTCGAAACGACCCCCGCTAACAACGCGAACGCCGACGGCTTCACCGTCGTGAAATCGCGCAAAAAGGGCAAGAAACGCCCCGCTACGGACAGCGACCACGAAAGCGAGGCCGCCCCGTCAAACCGTCCCACCACGACGCCCGCCAAAAAGGCAGCCGCGACTGCCCAGTCGGAACCGACATTCGCCTCCGAGCGAAAAATCAAGCCACCGCCGCCAATTATAATCCAAGAAAAGGCAAAGTGGCATCAGATATGTTCATGGTTCGAACACCATAACATACGAGACCCCCGGTCCAAGAATACGCATATGGGTATCCGCGTATACCTCGATTCTTCGGACGATTTCCGCCGCGTAACGAAATACTTGCGCGAAGCTAAGGTAGGTTTCCACACCTACTCACTACCCGAAGAGCGTAAACTTCGGGTCGTAATTAAGGGCGTCCCAAAAGAGTCGGATGTCGATATGGCTAAGGTCGACATCCGCACTCAGGGATACCCTGTTCACGCCGTGCGTCGTCTCAGGCACCCTCGCACCCGTGTCCCTATGGACATGGTCATGGTGGAACTTGACCCGACCACGGAAGGTAAGGCCATTTTCAACCTTAAAAGGGTCTGTGGGCTCAGTGACTTAGTCATCGAGCCCCCCACGTAAATCAGGTGTTGTGGCACAGTGCCACAACTGTCAACATTTTGCCCACACGGCCAATAACTGCTTCGCTCACCCAAGGTGCGTCAAATGCACCGGTGACCACGGCACAACCGAGTGCACGAGGCCGAAAGATTGCGCAGATCCTTCGGACTGCGTAAACTGTAACGCCACCGGCCACCCGGCTAGCTACAGAGGCTGCGCTAAGGCCCCGAAAACTCCCGCGAGGAAATCTCCCGCAAAATCGACGTTGCCCAAACCCGCGCCCGTTAGATTAATTCCCGCGCCCGTACCCGTCGTAAACGCCTGGGCGAAACCCCAGGTGGCCGCGCAGGTAAACGCGCCGGTAATCCCGGTCGCCTCACGACCGATCGCGCAACAGCTGCCCGCCTCTCAAACGGCGCCGCGGCCGCAGGTGCAGCCAATTCCGTCAGTTTTCGCGGAAAACAAGGACGACCCATTCGCGCAAATAGCTAACATCTGCAGCTTATTAGATATAATCAATAGGCAGGAACTCACCGTATTGTCCGCTAAAATAGCGGCCGCCACATCTGGCCACGAGCGTCTTAGGGCAATTAGCCAACACAAAACGCTTGTGGAAGCCCTTTGGACTTTTACGAGCCAACCGTAAAAGACAATAGTCCGCGCAATAAAACCGCGCTCCGCCGCGTCGTTAATTAGACCCATAAAAACACCTTAATGGGAAGTACAACCGCAGGTAGAACAAAACCTCGGGCTCTGGTTGTTTCGTATTTCAACGCAAACGGAATAAAGGGTCAAAGGGATGAAATCGCGGAATTCCTTCGCGATTATAACGTAGATATTTTCCTAGTGCAAGAGACATTCTTGAAACCTAGTGTACGCGATCCCAGAATCGCAAATTACTATATTGTCCGCCACGACCGGTTAGCAAACCGTCTGGGAGGCACACTAATTTATTAGAAACGGTCCTTGCACTGTTGCCCGCTCGACATTCCAGAGCTAAGTCGAATAGAGGCATCCGCGTGTAGGTTAGCGCTCACCGGCCACAGGCCGCTTGTACTAGTCTCAGCCTACCTCTCGGGGAACAAAACCTTATTACAAAGCGACCTAGTTACGCTACTCAACTTAGGCCCTTCCGTGATAATTGCAGGAGATCTAAACTGCAAACACGGATCATGGGACACCAACAGCATCCCAAATAACAACGGAAAGCATCTCTTTAGCTTATCCGATAACCTAAATCTTAGTATAGTCGCTCCCGCGACTCCCACTAGGTATCCTACGGTGGACAACTACCAGCACGCGTCACCGAGTGTCCTAGACATAATGTTATTTAGGGAGGTCTCGCTCGACATCGAGTCGATAGAGACAATCCATGAACTAGACTCAGACCACAGGCCCGTCCTGTGTAAACTGGGCCAGAACGCCGGCGCGGTCCCTCCGACCAAATCCGTAGTGGACTGGCATCGTCTTGGGGTCAAACTCAAGGCCTTGGACCCCCAGGACTTAATCGAACTACCCGAGACGATATCTACGTTCGATGACGCAAATCGAGCGATAGCGAGTCTCCGCGAAACTATTACTTCCGCAGTCACAGACTCGGAACGGACGGTGAAACTGTCGGGCGACCGACGGTTTAACTTTCCGCCCGACCTTCGACTGCTAATTAGACAGAAAAATGCAGCCAAACGCGCCTTCGACCGATACCGATCGGAATCGAACCGAACCCTACTTCGACGCCTTCAGCTAGAAGTCAAAGATCGTGTAACGGAACACCGACATACAACGTGGGACAATCTCCTAGAGGACATCGAGCCATCGCACACCGCCTACTGGCGGTTGGCCCGCAGTCTGAAAGCAGACCCCCGCGAATCTCTACCGCCGTTAGTTAGACCTAATAGCGCTTCAGTAGCCCTAGATGACTCCGAAAAAGCCGAATGCCTTGCGGACAACCTAGAGCAGCAATGTACGCCATCGCGCGAACACACCGATACAGTCCACCTAACGGAGGTGGACCGCGTAATCGAGACTAGGGCTGCGCTTCCACCGGAAGGCGAACCTTTAAATTCAGTGACCCCCGAAGAGGTCCAAGATATTATTAAAAATCTAAAACCGAAATCCGCCCCGGGCCCAGATAATATCAGTAACAAAATTCTTAAAGCTCTCCCTGGGCCGCTTATCTGTTTACTGGCGACCATTTACAACACTTTACTCTCCTGTTGCTCCTTTCCCGACGACTGGAAAGAAGCCACGGTTATCGGCATTCGCAAGCCGAATAAACCAGCCAACCAACCCTCTAGTTATCGTCCCATCAGCCTCCTCAGTTGCCTGGGGAAGCTCTACGAGCGGCTTTTATTAAACAGGCTCAATGAACACGTGTTTACCAACGGCCTTCTGCCGGCGGAACAATTCGGCTTTCGAGCTAGACATTCCTGTCCCGATCAACTATTCCGCCTAACGGAACATATCCTAAAAGGCCTAAATCACCCTAAACATATTAGTACAGGGGCTCTTTTCTTCGATGTCGCAAAAGCATTCGACAAGGTCTGGCACAACGGCTTGCTTTACAAGCTGTACACACTCAAAGTGCCAGATAGGCTCGTACACACCATCCGGGCCTTCCTGTCAAACGGCTCTTTTCGATATCGAGTTGAAGGCACCCTCTCCACAAGCCGCCGCCGCATGGCCGGCGTACCACAAGGCTCCTGCCTCTCACCTTTGCTCTTTACGCTCTACACGAGCGATATACCTAAAGACCCCCACGTCAAACTCGCGCTTTTCGCGGATGACACGGCGCTCTTTTATTCAGACCGCAACCTTAGACTACTAACCACTCGACTCCAAAGCACCGCCGACCGCCTCGGCGACTGGTTCCGCAAATGGAGAATAGAAATAAATCCCGAAAAGAGTGTAGCGATTCACTTCACACGAAGTACTTACCCGTCACATCTTTATAATGGTCCTCGCCAATGCAGAAAGTTGGGGCAAATATCCCTTTATGGGCAACCGCTCCCCTGGGAGAAAAAGGTCAAATACTTAGGAGTCACTTTCGAGTCGCGTATGTCATTTACTACGCACATTAATAACGTTCGTAATAGAGCCGCGTTCGTCTCCGGACGGCTACATAATTTAACTAACGCTAAAAGTAAAATGCCCTTAAGGCACAAATTATTATTATATAAGACTTGCGTACGACCTATTATGTCCTACGCATGCATGATCTTCGCCCACACGCACCCTACTCGCTTGTACAAGCTGCAAATAGTACAAAATAAGTTCATCCGCCGTGCAACCGGTGCGCAGTGGTATCAACGCAACGTCGATCTGCACAGCGATTGCAGACTCCCGACGATTCGCGAATATTTTAAAGACCTGACCAAACGGTTCTTCGATAGAGCCGAACATCATCCCAACCCTCTGGTGGTAAGCGCAGCAAATTACCAACCCGACACAAGCGCGAACGTCAACAAGCGTCGCCCGCGAAACGTCCTCATCGACCCGGTCGAGGAAGGGGACTTAGATACGCCGGACCCACCGCCGGGGGTCCCGCCGGATAACACTACACCCACAGTTAGTGCAACAACAAACACACTAGTTCGCCCTCGCCTCCGAGCACGGCGAGACCAACACAACGCGTACACAAGGTACACCCGCGTTCCAGGGCGGTTCTCACCGTGCTGGCTAGCCCACCGGTTCTGCGTCAGATGAAGCTTTAATAGTCTCGGGACTGAAAGCAAAAACATCAGTTAATAGAAGATACAAGATACAAGAGATGGGTCGTATCGCTTTTTCTGAGTACCGTATCTGAATCAGATTTCGATTTCAAATATCAGATTTCGAAACTATGTATTTTAATATCTACATATTTTACGGTCCCGTATCCACCTTGAATTCAAAAAAAAAAATAAAAAAAAAATTCAATATTATTGGGTATATTACTATATTAATGGTATTTATGTATTTAATAGTAAACATTAACGGAGTGGATATAAGATGAATGAAATTACCATTACCAGTGATACCAACACTTCAAAAAGTATACTCCTAAATAAATTCGAAAACCCACTGAAATTGACTAAATTCAAAAAACTTACTGAATTTAAAATCACGATTTTTATACTATTAAGGTAAAATTAAAACATTACCAAACAAAATTACCTGATTAAATTAAAAATTTCATTAAAAATAGAAATTGAAGTAATATAAAAATGATTTATTTTAACGTCTTATATATCGCTTAATAATTGACTTTAACATATTTTTAGAACACGCAATCATGAGTGACAATATTTTTATAATTTGTGTAAGAAATAATACATTCAGTATTATAACTTAGGGCGGATGAATTTAAAATATACACACAAGGCACATAAGCCTTGGTCTGATTTCCACCAAAGCAGCACAGCACTATTAAATTATATTTTCCTTTTTATGTAGTTTTATTTTTTTCCAAAAATATGAATAAAATTTAACTAATAAAAATATTCACAAAAAATTTACCTCCTAAAAAATTTCCATTGTATATTTTTCTTCCTTAATTTAGGCAGAAAATTCTTAAGTAGTAAGTTGGCATCCCTTACTATTACGTGATATCTACCAATGCAATCCAGCTCAAGGCTAAACAAAATTTAAAGACATCGTTAATACCGTAATTCGTATTTAAATGCAACAGACTTTTTTCCATGCTATTAAGATTCAAAATTACTTAACTGCGCGCTTTGTCGCCCGTTACGGCTCAAGGCTAAACAAAAGAATAAAAATATAATAATATTGTTGTAGTACTCGTTGATACCATGATCAGTATTTAAATGAAACGGATCTTATTTGCATGGTATTAAGATTCAAAATTACTTAACTTATTCATAATATCTGTTTAAAAATCTGATATTGTGCCTTGCTTGCCGTACTGCTCTAACTAGTGTAATATTTGTATCTCACGCTCTTTGTCGCTCAAAATCTGTTTAAAAATCTGATATCGTGCATTGCATGCCGTTCCGCTCTAACTAGTGAGTATTTATATCTCACGCGCTTTGTCGCTCGATATCTGTTTAAAAATCTGATATCGTACATTGCTTGCCGTCCCGCTCTAACTAGTGAGTATTTGTATCTCACGCGCTTTGTCTCTCGAAATCTGTTTAAAAATCAGATATTGTGGCAAACGCGTATGATATCGCGATTCGTGTCGGTATAGCGAGCGAGCGAGTATTCGGTACATCAGATTTCGGAAATATCAGATATTGTAAAATACATAGATTTTGAACAAGCCAGTAAGCGATTTTCGGATATTGTACTAATATATAGTTTTAATATCTGATACGATTTGTATCGCCCACTTCTACTAGCTACCGGTTCTGAAAGCTGCAAAGCTTATACCAGTCTATTGTGAAAAACCTACGTGACACCGGGACTTTTCATCTTCACATAACACCACGTCATTTTACGTACATACATACTGTAGGAATACATGTGTGGTTTAGCGCGTAAGCGAATTATGACGCATATATAGCGCAGGGCCATTTTAATTTTGATTAATCTAAAATACACTCGGACTATAGAGGGATACTCGGGGGCACTCGAAAGCCACTCGCGGACTCTTTTTTTTATTTATGTGAAAAGATGCCAAGTGGTTCACTTGACGTTAAGTGAATACTGCCGCCCATGGACATCTGCTACATCCGAGGGTTTCTGATACATTGACAACCTTTTGAAAATTGGGCTCCGGCTACCTCACTGACCAGATGAAACGCGAAATTATTATACTTCCACTTCACGCCGGTCTACTGTGAGGTCGTGGTGCTTACCCGGACGAGCCTGCCCATTCGTGCAACAGCCGAGGCTGTTGCGTGGCCCCACCACTCTGAAGAGTGGTAGGGCCTCCCATTAGAGTTGCAATATACGAGCTACGGAAAAAAACGTGTTTCATTTTTGCAATCCTCAACCTCAATCCCATCTTCAGTGTTTCATTATTACAATCCTCTGATATAGAAACGTAAGTAGAGTACACAATTGCAACAAATATGAGAAACCCTAAAGGCTGAATTAGATCCGCCGTATACCTGTCAGGTCCTTGACGAACACCCCGATGTCAGGGCGCTCTTTCACCTCGAGACTCCGGTGCGGATTGTTGCCCAGGAGATCGCGCACCTCCTCGTTATAGATCTCCAGGTATGTCACGCATACCAGGAACCTGGCGAGGGTAATGGTGGAATGACTAAATCCATACAGCTCCGAGCGATCCCTTCTAGATTTTTTTTATGGGAATTGAAGGCAACGTAGCAATCGGGTCACCTGATGCTAAGTGGTCACCACCGCCCATGGACAATTGCAATGGGTGGGACGGTTCACAGCTGCGTTGCATTTTTTAATGTGAGAAAGTGGCAAACGAGCTGGCGGTTCACCTGATGTAAAGTGATAACCGCCGCCCATTGACATCTGCTACACCCGAGGGTTTGCAGATGCGTTGACAACCTTTTTGGAAATTGGTCTCCGGCTATCTCCCTCACCAAACGAAACGCAAAAGTATTATACTTCCAATTTACGCCGGTCTTCTGTGAGGTCGTGGTACTTACCCGGACGAGCCTGCCCATTCGTGCAACAGTCGAGGCTGCTGCGTGGCCCCACCACCGTATAAGACATCAAATAAAGCTGCTCAAAGTTCTCAATTAACTCACTTCTCGTCCTCCTTCGCCTGCGCTATGTGGCTGAAGATGTGGGCGAAGGAGTTGGGTATTATGCCGCGCAGCTCCGGGGCCGTGTTGGAGCCGGCCATGGTGTAGGTCTTGCCGGTGCCGGTCTGGCCGTACGCGAATATGGTGCCGTTGTAGCCGCGCACCACCTGCTCGACGATGGGGCTGGCGGTCTGCACGTAGATGTCCATCTGCGGAAGAAGGAGCAGATTCTGATGGGTGGTGATATTTTGTAGACCCAACTGGCGTAGTTAATGTGGGCCGGGCGTGGGTACGATGCCCATGTATACTGGAAAGATATTGTGTGTTGAACATAGTGTTTTTCCAGTGTCTGGCTGTTTATACAGGGTGATTTTTTAAGACGAAGTACGTACTTTGACATAATGTTAATAAAAAAAAAACATTTATATTTTATTTTGACAAGAAATAACTAGAAAAATATCAATTCAAACATTGTTTATCCCGTTCCCGTTAAGGGTGGTCACCCTATTGATAAGCGGTTTAGTAATTATACGTGCAACGAACAGTTTTAGTGCTCGTAAATAGGTTATTGTATGATGGTAAGGCAGGAATTTGTAATAGAGTGTCCATAATGTTTGAAAAAATTAAAAATTATTTTTGAAAAAAAAAAATGAGGTCACAGTTACGTACCAGATTCAGATTTAGAATCAAATTCTGCATATGCTCTGTTAATATGTCCGTCGTGTATAAAATCACCCTGTATATTTGAGACATAAAGAACCAGAAAGAACTTCTGCTTTTGCATGAACGGGCAGGCTCGTTCAGAGAGGCACCACAATCTCACAGAAGACCAGCGTGAAGCGGAAATATATATATTATAAATTTAGCGTTTCGTTTAATAGGCTCGGGAGGTAAACGGTTCCAACTTATTTTAATTTTACCTTCTAAAGGTTTCCAATGCGTCTGTGTGTGTTGGCGGTGGTAATCTCTTAGCATCAGTTAAACCGTAAATGCGAGAAAAGAAACAAGAACAAAAACCAATATACAAACATATACATTAAGGAAGCATTAAAACATTAATATCAATCAATCGATTACATATAACCAATCAAAAAATTTGGTCACCTTAAATTTCATTTTATTTACCTACATCCAAATTAATTTTATTAAATCGCTTACGATTATTTCATGTTTTGAAAAATTAGAAAAAAAACCCGTAAACAGTGTGATTTTGGGCTTATTTAGGACTAGGTCTGAGAAGAATGAGCGTTTTAGCGAGCATTTCAATAAATTCATGGACGAAAGCCAGCATAGATAAAACAGATTAAGAGTACCGCGCCGCTATATGGGCCAGTGGGACAGGGTTATTGATTCGCCTCGACCCCCCCCCCCCCCCAACCCCTCCCCCCGCCTCACCACTTATATCCCCCCCTCCTCAATATACACCCGCGAGCGGTACCTCAATATAACTTGGCCACGCTATTTCATTCGAAGCTAAATTTACATAAATCTATATCGAGGTTCAGTAACGGCCGCGGGGATTCAATCTCAGCCCATTTTGCGCGGTTAAATAGAAACAGTATGTACTGACAACAACATAAAACCGACCCATAGACAAAGAGAACACTGCATCCGCATGCGGTCAACATAATCGCCTTGCGCAATATAGACAATGATATTATAAACAAAAATACGAGGTAGATATGACACTAGCGCACTGAAACTAAGGCACTCAAATTACACCAATTGGTGTATTAGATTGCTACTCTATAGACCGCTATCTCTTTCCGTCATATAATTCTTTATTATTTTTATAATTATAGTCTCTATATGTCATATAATGTTAAACGGAACTATTTTGACATGCGTCAACTATATTATTTATTAATCATCATTGAATATAGACGTATATAGACTTGACAAAATCAACATGATTGATTACAAGAACATATCAAACGGAAAAATATATACTGAAAGTTCTGGAAAATGTTATATTAGTTACGAAAGACGGCAATACATTAAAAGAATCAAGAGAAGAAATATTGTCCATAGCGTCCAGTAATTTCGTTATACAGAAATATATCATAGTATTTTTCTATATGACCGATATATTTTAAATAAATTTTCATATTTAATAGATAAATTGTCACAGTTTCTGAATGACAGAGATATGATTAAGAAATTAACACGACATAAAACGAGATAGGATTTTAAATATATTGTGAACATAGGTTTGTCATTTGACTTATCGGAATGATCGGAAATAGATTTGATTTTCAATACCTAAATTTTCATTAAGACAGTTATGTTTACGTCATTTCCGTAATTTTTTATGTTTTTTTATACCTAGCTTCCCTACCAAATTCAAAATGGCGCTGGCCTGGCTCTGCGCGCCTATCCTTTGTTCGATTGCCCGCAAATTTTATTACACTAATTTTCGCTAAGTTAAATTGTTTCATTATTAAAAATTTTAAGAAAATATAACGCTAACTATACCATTTTTAAAACACAATGGTTCGTCAACAGCAATTTAAAAAACCGGCCAAGTGCGAGTCAGACTCGCACACAAAGGGTTCCGTACGATTATCTATAACCACGATACGATATCCTTAACAGATCTGTTGACAGTACACTAATTTCATAGTTACGACCTTGTATTTTATCCAAGGTCGACAGTTCAAGAATAAAAGCAGTATTCTTTTATAGCTTACATTAGTAAGACTGATAAATATGTTTGCTACATTATTCCGTAAGAATAATTATAGATTGAAGCGTGCTTTATCTGGAGCTAAGTATAAAAAACCGGCCAAGTGCGAGTCGGACTCGCGCACGTAGGGTTCCGTATCGTTATCTATAAAAACGACAAGAGACGATGAACCCTAATTAAATATTGTTTATTCTGTTTTTACTATTTGTTGTCATAGCGGCGACATAAATGCATCATCTGTGAATATTTTAACTGTCTAACTATCACGATTCACGAGATACAGCAGGTGACAGACGGACAGACAGCGGAGTCTTAGTAATAGGGTCTAGTTTTACCCTTTGAGTATGGAATCCTAAAAACTACCAAACTCGACGATGTTTCGGTTAAGTATAAAAAAGCGCCAGAGCTCCGTTATAGAGTTATGCATTGTGAAAAGCGTTGAAATTTCGTTTCTCCGAGCCTGGAATGGCTTCGACTTACACGTAATATTGAAAATTCCACGCTGCATTCTGTCATGGATTATATGGAAATGCTTCGATCGATCGACGATGCGCCGAACTCGACTCAGACGAACCATGTCGACCAAATACATGATATGGACGCGCGTCCAAATTCATCAAATGAGCGGCCAACGGCCGCGTTTATTAGATTTATGGCTCGATTAAGAAAATAACCTTCCATATGTTAATCGTTTAAATAACAGTAATTTTAAAAAAATGCAAGCACCAACCCAAAGTATTAGCCTCCAGCCTTAACTTAAACAACATAAGCACTTCTAAACAAAGGCCTTTGTTTTGCAAGTGCAGATTTGCAGGCTTCATATGTTCAATTTTTTTAATTTTAGATATGAGGTTTTCCTCCAAAAATCCTTCACCTTATCCTTATATCCGTACTAATCCTTACTAATATAGTAAAGGCGAAAGTTTGTTACTGTTTCACGCAAATACTACTGAATGGATTTAAATATAGAATAAGACTAGGCTATAATTTATATACATATTTTTATGTACATCTGCTGTCTTTCTGACTGAATGTTACGCCATCAGCCTATTCTACGCAGACGTAGTCGCGGGCACCAGCTAGTATAGCTCATAATTATGCAATTCTCAATGGCTATGTGCCATACAAATATTTACCATAAACAGAGCTTTTTTTAAGACGCTAGTCATCATTAATAAGAATATTTCCAATCGTTTCCTACACAAGGCCGAGACATTCTGTAGGAAACTATTGCAATTACAATTACAGGAATAAATTAAAACAAATATATTTTTTTTAATTTATTCCTGCTTTTTTTGCTTTGTTTTAATTTATCGTTGCTCCGATAGTCCCTAATGATATTATAATTATTTAATCGAAACAGCAAAGTTGAAGTATTACATTGAAGTAGGTATAACGTCTTTGTTTCATAAATCAAAATGGCGGTAAAATTAGTTATGTCGCGTGGTCTTATAACATTTTGGCTAATCTTAAAAGTGAAACAAAAAACATATTTGCATTCCTTGTTCAAGTTAACAGACAGTTATTCCCTTTTTATATACATCTGTAGCTTTAAGATTAAGGATTATTCCTAATTTTATGTGATTTGTTGTATAAGTTACGATGGGATTAGCGTATCTATATAGACAAAAACCCCATAAAAATAAAAGATAATAAAAAAAAATGTCACGTGGACCGAGGCCGCATCTATTATACAATCGACAGTTCAAAGCGTATTTTCCTCCTTATTATTTTCAATTTGTTTCATATCGTCAATTAAACTCGACAATTGATCGTAGACATATTTTTTTATTTGAACAAGTATGTCAGCAATACGTAACATAACAATAACATAATTTATGTGATCGGTTTTCATTAAATTATTTTAATCAATACCCGGGTAAAGGTTATTTAATATTAATTCATTTTCTCTTTAAATAAAGATTCAAAGTGTTATAAATAATGAATATGAGCAAAATAGTTCGTGTTTTCATTCATAACTTCTAACGCAAAATCAAAAAAGGAGTTTTTATAAATCTAGATTTAAATCAATAGCCAATAAGTAATATTGGTGGGCTGTTACGCAACATCCGCCGGTGGAAATGCAAAGCATTCAGCAACGCGTCATATTAAAATACCGCAAAAGCAATATGGCGGCAAAGGTACACAGGTGCGATATATATAAATTCTATACAGACATAATTACAACGTCTGCAAGTTTTGCGCATGTGCAAGGATGCACTGTCGATCGAAGTGGGCGGCCATTTTGATATGATGTAATCGAATCTTTTTTTTCTAAATATAAGCGATCAGAGACAGTTACAATCATCCTAAATGAATAATATAAATTTAGATTCCTAATCGAATAATCGAACTGTGCATATTTAGACTGTTAATTCTTACGAACTCGTTTTAGAACGTCTTACATGTATAAATCTATAAATAACTACAGATAAGAAAAGAAAAGGAAGCAAAAATATTTTTCTTATTTTTTTTAGCCACAAGGATGGTTAAACTCTCTGAATTGATCAGAATGATCTTTTA